GCGCCGTTTACCGACAGGCAAGTGCTTGGACCAGAAGGGGGCCCCCAAACAAGGTAGATTAATCCAATCCAATCCAACTTTATTTATATAGCACTTTAAAACCTCCTGACCAAAGTATATGCATAGCGCGCCGAAACTGCTTCTTAATTTCAGTTTCGTTGCTCCGCTCCGGGGGTGTGGGGGGGGACTTTACTGGCATTGATCCGGACCATTGACCTTGTATAAAATTCACAAGTGGACCTTTAACAAAAAAGTTTGAGTACCCCTGATCTATAGCTTAAGGAACATGGCTTTGATAGAGTACCTGATACTCCATTACTTCCTGTTATCCATTGTCAACTGATGATCTCCATGACATGAGTTTGTTGAACCTCCCCTACAACACAATTTCCTTTGTTACGTTTTATTCATTCATCAATAATGTCTCTTGTTAATGCATTCACGATTTAAAGGCAGTGGTAAATCCCAGAGAGGCTCGTCCATTGAAAAAGAATGTATTGAGTCAACCTGCCTGAGAGAGACGCTAACTTGACTATGTTTCATTTCAGATCTAACCTAAAGCAATTCAGTGTCCCATGTTGTATATACTGTTCCAGATGATTGTTTGCATCCTGACAGGAACCCACTTCCTTCCATTTTTTTTTGTTCTATTTTTGGAGCAGAAAACCATTTTTTTACATTTGAACATTTGTTTAGTAGCTGTGTGGATTTTATCAAGAGTTATAAATGTTTGTTAATGTTGAAAATTACATATCGTAGTTTATTGAAAAAAGGATTAAACCTCCTTGTCAAAACATCTTCTTAGTTGAAGTGTTTTTTTCTTTCACTGTGCATCTGATACAATTACTGCATTCATGCTGAGAACATAATTTCACATCTCATCCTCAAGAATATGCCTGTTAAGAGAGACACATATATATACCACCCAAAATGTTTGATTATCTATTTAAATCTTCATCAGGAAATACGAGGCAAAATACTGCCTCTAAATGGGAAATTAATTCAATCAAGAGTAGACAAAAATGTTGATGAACTGTTACAGGCTGCTTAAATGTACCTGTAATGTAAAAAGAAAAACCTGCATCACATCAGCAGAGACAACGCGAGAGGCCAATATTCAATTTCAAATTAAAGTGTAAAGTAGCCCCACACTGTGTTCTCATTTTGAGAGACTGTTTATTAAGACACCAGCATTACAGCAAACAGCTTTCATCAGGTTTCATCACACTCTGATGAAAGATGTTTGCACAGACATCGGTGTCTTTACAAAGTCACAGAAATGAGAACATCCCGTGCCGCAATTTCAAATTAAATATTGTTATGCCTTATCTAATATGTGATTGCATACCATATGTATATGTGAGCCCATATGCATATGTGTGAACCCATATGTAAATGTGACTATACGTCAGGTATTATCAGTTGCCTGAGGTGATTTTGTACACACAGATCGACTGCAGAGATGTGCGTTAGCAGGTAGTTTACACCATGCGCAGGGTGTCAGTCTGTCACGAGGCTGGGCTAAATGTTATTACCATACTGAAAACAGCTTTGACATACATCTCTATGTCTTTTTCCCAATGTAGTTTCAATTGCTTTTGTTTTCCTGTAATATTTCTCTTGACTACTACAATGCGGAATGTGTTTACATCTCTAAATCTGGCATGATTTGTTAAAATAAATGGTATCATAAGCAAAAAACTGCCTATTTTAGTCTAGTATGTTTTCCAATGCATTACATGCACTGAACATTGTGTACTGCTCAACAACATTTCATCGCTTATGTGATGTACCAACATTTTGACAAACAAAAGACATAAAAGTGTTTTTACGAGTGTCTGTGTAACTAAAGACTTGATAAATCTTCATTCAGAACGAGCACAGCATCAACTCTCCTCCACCACCGCCCCGTGGGCACAAGAGATCGGGCCCTTCAGGCGATTAGCCCGTCTTACATTCCCTGTGATCGGATTAGACGATTCCCACAGTCTAGTCTGAAACTACTCCCGACCCGCAGCTCCGGAGAGCATCTCAATATCCAATTTCACAGCTTTCTAAACCTGGATCACGGAGGCTATTTATTACTGTCACAAGCTTTTGTGTTGGGGGGGCAGAGGGGTACGGCTTTTGTGTTTCATCTGCTCCGTAGCAGGAAGATGAACAACAAGAGAGTGAAAAGTGTAATGAGTGAGGAACCAGTGGCGTGGCCTGAAACCCTTAAAAACATGGCAGCCCCGCTAAATTAGACCAGGCCGACGCTGCAGTCAGCAGCTTCTCCAGGACCTTTGATCCGCTGAACACAATTATGACCCAGCACATTGTGTTGTGTTCTGTTACTGACAAAAAAAAATGAAATGAAAAATGTTGACTGCAGTCTGAATTTGGGAAAACAAACTTCTGGAGAAAATTGGGACGTTCTGGGAAGTTTGTGATTACACCTCAGAATTGTTTTCAGGAGTGAAATATAAATGGTTATGTGGTTTTGGACAGATGTAGCCTTAGTTCTGGTTGGCTGGTTAAAATAGAGCCCCCTAGATAATAAAACCATTTATAAGGCAGTCTTAAACCGGACCAGCAGCTGTAATAGGGGCCTCCATTATAGAGGCTTTATAATTTCCTTGCTTTTTCCTTTTAGAGCCTCTGTTGTTCCTCTGAATTACCCCTGAATGATTTATGCTCACTGGTCTGGCCACTGATAGACCCTGGCAACACAGATAGAAACACACTTAGGGCTTTTTGGTATGTAAACACACTGTATTAAAAGCCAACTTGTTTCAAACAGCCAAACACATTTGCTGTGGCGGGGGCCGCTTGGTGTCATTTCACTCGTCAAACACCACAGTGTCACAGCCAATCAAGGGACTCCAGGGGCAACACAAGCCATTTAACCTGAGCAAACAGAGTGTGTCACGAAGCCCGAGGATGACTTAAGAGCCTGAGCAAACACTGGCGAGAGCCATCGGGCACGAATCAAGGCGGCCGGGCTGAGGACAAGTCACTCTCGTAATGGCTTTGTGATGACTCAAGATCGAGCGGCCATCTGTTTGTTACAGTGGGGGAGGCCCACAACTCGCAGTTCAGATACACAGAATATTAGCTGGTAGTGCAGCAGAGGAGGGGAGGATTTGGCCGGTGGCACAGGATGTAAAGCATATGTCCATAAATGGTAAGTATGCTGATAGCTGAGGCCCTGATAGCCTGAACTGGGGCCAGATAACAGGATTTGCATGGAGATTTTCAGCCTGGGTGAAACAACACCTTCAAAGGTGTAAGACAAGTAATCCTGCAAGTGACAATAAGCCCTCACTACATACAGATGGAAAAATACTGCATTAGAAACTCACCGCTGACATGAAAAACTCACCACATATTTAAAGCACCAGAGAGTTTGCATGAAATTTCAATTATGAGAGTTTGAATAAACCGCAGTCATTTGTGTCCGGTCTGTAACCGTGAAGTTCATTTGAACAGCAAAAGTCAAACCACACAGCCTCGGAGGCCACACACAGGGCTATGACCAGGGCTTGAGAAACAGGTTAGCCCCCCCACCCCCAACATAACACCCGCTAAAAATCCAAACAGACACATAGAAGAAAGAGAGGTATACTTAGTCAGATCCTTGACATAAAAGCTGTGTAAAACGTGGAATTTGCCATTCAACCTAATGTGAATTGTCCATGTCAATGTTATAGTCAGCAACATTTACTAATATTTACTCGTAGTTTGGGAAATGAAATTGCTAAGTAAGTACGCTTTTTGAGTAACTACTACTTGTTAAATGTTATAATAATTTGATCCTTTTAAAATGTAATTAATTTAATTTTCTTTAATTTAATAAATGTCTAACTGCTGTGTTAAAGCCCTCTATACAGTCAGGAATGCAATTGAAATTATTTAAAGAAAGTAAAACCTTAAAAGCAAATGATATCTCATAAATACCCAGCATGCCGAGTGAACACAGTCCATTTCTCAAAAAGAAGCTACATTAAAAGGACATTTGTTGGTACAATATGTATGAACGGACATGTTGTTTATCACAGTCGGTTGTGTGCCAGGCAGCTTTTTATATGGCAGTTTGAGTAATATTATGTTAGTACAATACCTTGTTGCTTGTAAACAGGCAGGTTATTACAACAGATTATTGCCATTTTAAGGGGAAAGCCCAAATGAGAAGTGTCATTCATCATATTAAAAGCATTACTGCTGTTTTCTGGTTTGCACATGTCGGATTAGATGTTGTTAAATATCCTCAGGGAAGCAATCAGGTGTTTTAAGTTAAGGGCAATTCCCCGCTCTACAGACAATCAATACAAAAATCTAAGAGAGGGGACTGTAATAGGGTTGGCTCGTAACCTGCTCTGACAAATTAAGGCAAATAATGTTTTTTCATTACTTACACATCCGTTTTCATTTTTCCCATCAGTGAAACCAATTAAACAATGCTTCCTTAAATTAGTCATTGATTTTTTAGCAATAGTGACACTTTGCCGAAGGAAATAATAACTTTAAGGCAGTGTTAGTGTTTTTTTCATTACTGCCAGTCTTGTAAGAGCAGAAACAATTCACCTACATAAAAAGTGGTGTCTTAAATTAGTCATTGATTTTTCCTTAGGTGTCACTTTGGTTAAATGCTTTGTGGTAGGGAGTTTTCTCTCTAACCTGGAAATTGACAAGAGGCCACAATCTATTAGTCTTTCACACAGACACACATTTGCTTGGGGTTTGGGGTTCTCACTTCCAGTATGTAAATGTATGACCTAGAACTCTTATCAGCCTGGAAATAAGCAATAAACATAAAGTTTGAGTGTGGAAATCACAACAAAAGTGCAATACATAAAACTTCCAAGAGATGAACTACTACAGAACAACATGTTATGCAGTGATTGTTTAGGGAAACCATCTGAAAAGTGGTCATAAATGTGTTTTTCAGAACTATTTTATTACAGAATATTTGCTATTGCCAATCTCATCCCACACACGAGAACACCGAGAAACAAAACTCAGACCAGATTCTTTTTTTAATGCTCGAATAGAACAAAACAAAACAAATTAAAACAAAAATAAAAATAAACAAGAGAAATCCAGAGCAGCACATCATACCTGCTGCTCTTCCTTTCTTTCTTTTTCTTCCATGAGACTAGAAAAAAATACACTTACAATTTGAAGCAGCAACAAAATGTGCATTTACCTGATTATACAATGGAACATTATCTTATTATTATTATTATAACATGAACGTTTTATCATCACATTATAAACTTCATATTTCTTATGTTTTTTTTTTAGCAAAAAAAGCCACCCTTTTGTAGGTAATGCAAAATATACACCTTATGTTCACTTGGAACACAACGGAGAACAAATCAGGAAAGTATTTTTACTTTACGTTTGATTTTATTATGTTTTTTTAATTGTTTAAGCCAATAAAATCTTTTGTAATTAGGGATTCAAATAATATCCCAAATGTTTTGATGTTTTCCACTTTAACTGTACATACACTTCATCTGTTGTTCAATGAACAAAGTGAATACCTGAATGGCAAAAGAAAGACTGCTGCTTTGATGCGTCAGAATAAACAAAGGAAATCTGCTGTTTACAGTGAATGAGATATTTTACAGCGGCCTGACGCTTTATTGATTATCCTAAACACAGGCCGTATTTTCATCAGCACAACTCGAGGTGTCTTTTTACTTTACTAACCCACGAGGTTTTTCAGCCGTTGAGAGATGCTCCAGGGGTTTATATCATCACAGCAAAAACACCTACATGATGAGATCTACAGTCTGATTGGATGAGTGGCAGAGATCATTGACAGACAAGAGGTGTTGTGATCATACTGACAGTGAGGCCGCTCTCACTGTGTGTAGCTAAATGTCTCTTTTATTATCACATTACTTTTTCAAGTCTATAATCATGTCACTTCACCATAAGAGCATCGTAACAATACGTTGCCAGTTTTCACTTTAAATGAGCGTGAAAGTACAGAATGGCTGATCGAGGCAAGACGAGCAGAAGTGATCATCCTTCCCTTTGCTGCGTGTCTGTTTCTTTAGCAGGAAGTCTAAGATTCAGTCCTTGGGAGACCATGAGTTTGCCGTTGAGTCCTGTCTCTTTAGGGCGCCACATGCTCAAAATCATAAGAATAAAAAAACAGATGACTCCCACATTAATGTACAAACATAAACAACGGTAAAGAGCCAACCACATAGCTAGCCTCTGGCAGGTTAACACCGAGCTTCCTGTCCATAAAGTGCAGACTCCATCCTGCTGTACGGCTTGAACGTCAGAAGAAAAAAAGAGGATGTGTGTGTGTTTATGTGAGAGAGGAGGGGAAGCTCCGCTGCATGTGTGTGTTCAGTCTTATTCCCCGGAGCGACTGTGAATTAGAGGACAGTCTCAGGTGTATGGACAGAGGAGGCGGGGGAGGGTAGAGCGGAGGTGTGTGTTTTACGGTGGGCTGACGTTAATAAACGTATCCCTCACTGTAGGGGTGCGGCGGGCAGTACGGCCCCTCCTGTACGTAGGCCATGTTTTCGTCAAAGTGCGACAGCGGCACCGTGTCCTCCTCGTTGATCTGCCGCTCCATGTCCGTCTTCAGCACCGGCCGCTGGTTGTCGGGAAACGCCATGGAGAACAAGGCCTCGGGGTCGCACACAAACTTGTAGACGTATCTCTCGCCGGCCACCTGGAGGGAGACGCACGGAACGAGAGAGGCTTTTTAAAATTGAGCCAGGTTGTCAATACAAGAGCACAGAGTCTCTATTTTCAACTGAAATATTGAAAATGTATAATCAAATCCGATTATTCACTAAACATTTTTGGATACCCCTGACAAAAGCTAAACTGTACATGAATGTCTTAGAGACAGACAAAATCTCAGTGGGCAGATTTGTTGTTTTTGGGGGGGGTTCTTCTTGATTGCTGAATGTAACTCTTTATCTCCGCACACTGAGGTTTAACTCCATTGGTGAGATCATTTGTGTCCCAACCGCATGGGAAATATTGACTTTTAACACGTTTTGAGTCGTGAAAACACTACTAAATCAGGATTTAAAGGGTGTTGCTGCACTCTTGTCCAGGCTGGAAAAAAACCAGGACTAATTGTGGAAGGCAAAATGTTGGAAATCATTTTTGTCATCTCTTTCTTATATTTATCTGGCAGTGACATTTTGAAGTTGCAATTTGATGGAAGTCAGTCAAAACGTTTTGAGTCATTTAATGTGAGTATAAAACATTACATGTCTTCATTTTATTGAAGGAAATGCACAAATAGTACTCAACCAAGGACCAAGTAATTCCATTGATAGTTTCTCAAGAATAAAGTGTACAAGAAGTGGTTTCTCTGCCTTGTCTTCATGAGGCTCATTGTTTAGATGCGCCACCTCATTAAATAAATTACCTGGGGGAGGGGAGTTAGCACATGCTCCTCGAATCAATCAGGCTTAATCAGGTTTATAAGCTCCAAACTTTTCATATTTAAAACCGCAATGTTTCTTTATGTTGTTGTAGTTTACTTTTAATTGTTGTTATATATTCTCTTATATGATTTGATTTACCTTTTGCATGATTCCCTTCTCGTAGTAGTAGCGCAACGACCGACTGAGCTTGTCGTAATTCATCGCCGGTCGATTCTTCTGTATCCCCCACCGACGTGCCACCTTTGTACCACACAGATAAACAACACAAAGGCAGTCAGCAAAAAATAAACAGAGAGCAGGATGCAGACACGGTCGACCTGATTTCCTTGCGGCAGCTGAAATGTTGAACAAACTTATTAATCCATATTTCCCTAATAACAGTAATTAGAGTGCGTCCAGCCTGAGCAGACCTGACCAGGGATGTGTTCATTAGGAGCTGTCACACACCCAGCGGAGGAGGCAGCAGATGTTACAGCACCTGTCTACCAGACCACCCACCACCCGGCCTCGCAGTCCAACCCACAGCCCCTCATTGCTCTCCTCTGCATTGCCTACACCCTTCACTCTCTTCTTTTGTTCAATAATATCAGATTTTCTAGGAGCCTTTTACAAGAAAAATCCCATTGCTGTGTCTTTCCTCACTGACATGCTACAAAGGGCAGAAGCCGCAAGCTAACGTTTGTCTGCAGCGTCCCAAAGGGAGTTCGTTTGGTCACCTGGTTGCATGAATGGGGCCCCCTGTTAGCTGCAGCTGGCCCGTGCCGCTAGACACTGTCGGGCTGCGTGGAGCGCTGCCAGGTACCCCTCTATCACCCCCCCCATCCATCCCCCGCCTGCAACCTGCATCCTCCTCCACCCTCCAACAGTGGGCAACAGGGACTGAGCCCCACTGTGTGTGATGTGGGCACACATAGACCCAGCCTCTGTCTCCATTTAAAAAGGCCCAACCGTCAACATGGGTTATATTTTTAGGAGTACGTCCTGTGAAATATTTAGCAGGCGCTGGCTAAAGGGTCATTTGGGTGAATGTGGTTGAGGACAAGATAAATAAAAAAGCCCTAAATCGAAGCCTGACTGGACCACTTAAGCACAGAAAACATTATTCATTCCACTTCAATTCACCTTTGACTTTGATTTGGCTTGGATGTGACATGCAACCTGTTTCTTTCTTTTTGCTCACATGAAGCTGCGACATGCTGAGAATCCACATTTGCAACAGGCACAGATATACAGTAAATGCAACACATTGAACTATAACTACTACTGACAATTATTTTCATGACAACTGATGAGCGGTTATTATTTTACATTTATAACACTAATATTTTAGTCTATAAAAAGTCAGAAAATTGTGAAAAATTGTGAAAGACTTAAAATGACTGTTGTTCTACTTTCTATTGCTTATCTTTATCACACCATGTAAAAAGAAAAAAAAGAAAAAAGCATTTATTGATGTAGATTTTTTTACTTGTATGTCAAGGGTCCTTGGTTTTAAGTAAACGTTTTTTAAATGAAATCTTTTATTCATAATGTAAAAATGAAATACAAAAAACATTTAAATATTAGTAATAGTGTTTCTCTGAGCGTCTCACCTCTTCTGGCTCGATGAGTTTGAACTCCATGCCGCGTCCGGTCCAGGCGATGTAGTGTGAGTTTGACGGGTCGTCCAGCAGAGCCACCAGGAACTGCCAGAGCTGCAGCGAGCCTCTGCGCTGGTACGACGGGCCCTCGCGGTACAACCCGGACTCCTGCTTAATGTCACCTAAAGGACATGAAACACATCCTTAGCTTATGGTGTTCTAGCAATTATGGAGTAGTTTTAACGTAGAATTCAAAAGTTCTTGAGGCAGGACTCACCTTCAACCTTTTCAGGCACCACACAGGTATCATCGTAGAAATGCCTTGCCACTTTGTCAAACATACAACCTGAAAAACAAAGGAGTGTTATATAATATTCAGTCAGAATCCAAACTGAAAAATCAACATATTTACTCGTATCATCACTGGTACCTTCAGTCCTGTTAGCGTGAGCCAGATAGCCGTCTTGCCGTAAGTAGACAGAATGGCAGCTAGGCACTTCTGCTGAAAGGCAGTAAGAATGGGAGAGTGGGTGTTAAAGGGCCCGAAGGTAGCATTAAGAACACTATCTCAGTTATCTGAGAGCAGTCAAAGCTTGTTCACTCAATGCACCACTGGCTCTGATTAAAGAATATGCCCCCTAGCAACGGCCCCCAGCCACAGGCGAGCTCACTATATCACCCTGCTAATACTCGCTCGCAGCTTCGTCTCCACTCAGAGCAAGATTTACTACCCAGTGAGAACATGGTGCTCTAACACAACAAAAGCTGATATGATGTAAGATTCTTCATAATGTGTGGCATCAACATAAAGCCTTTACACTATTTTTCTGACCTGAATGTTGTGTCACTGCAGCACGTTAGCTTGCGTTTTGATTTAAAAGCCCATAATGTTCCCAATCAGGTTATACTATGAGAGTTTGGCGTGAAATTAACAGATTAAAGGCTATTTTCTGCTTCAATTAAAACTGAGATTTCAAATGTTTCATATTTGAATGTTAAAATCCGAATAAATACTAAACAAAGATGTTTTATGTTAACATTGATTTTCTCTCATCTATTTCTCATTTTTTATTGTAAAAGAGAAATCTGAGATAATACAATTTAAGCCACATTTTCAGGGTCTTTAAAATAATATGTGCAAAAATATTGGAGGTGCTTTTCGATGATAGTTGTCAATTTAGTCACAACGCTTTGACCCCTTCTTTAACATTATTATTTCTCTCTTCCATCAACATCATGGACTTTCACATGTATGCATGTAAAATAATGAAACTGTAATGACACAAAAAAAGTGTTCTATCTTTTAAAAACCAAAAATCTTATTTTAAAGATCTTGCACCGTAAATCCTTCAACTCCTTATCTGTAATCACGTCCTTCTCATAAACACCAGCCTGCATTTACCAGTTGCTTCACCACATTGTCTAAATTGACCATTTACTGCAAATGTCCGACCCTCCCACAACACAGACGTGGCTAGTGATCAGAAAACGACCAAATAGGTTACAAAGTGAATGTTCAATAAACAGACTGAGGCCCTTCATCTAGGCCCATAAACATTTCTCTGAACTTCATCAAAGTAATGGGCTTGTAGAGGAAATTGCTGCTAATGAAATTACCAGCTCCCCTCCCATCCTCTCCAACAGGCCTGCTCCAGTCAACATGCTCCACTGTGACGGCTGATAAATTAACTCTGATGCTCCGTCCTGGATATACATGATAGTGTGGACAAAACACTTGGCTACTATAAATCAAAATATACCTTCTCGTTCTCTACTTATGGTCTTTATAATAAGTACTTGTAATGATAATAAATAAGTTAAGAACATTATGTTACTACTGCACTTATTGTCAGTTAGTAAATTGTATATCTAACATCCTGATTAGTGCTTGAATAAATAACTAAGTGAGGTATCGATAACCATTTTGATCATTGATTAAAGTTAAAGCCAAATATCAAGTAAAATTGTAATTTAATATGTGCTCGATCAAGCTTCCTAAATGTGAGCATTTATTGTTTAACATTATTATGAATAAAATACATTTTTGTCTGAAATTGTTGGTTGAAAAAAACTAATTCCCCTTGGATTATGAGAATTGTTGACCCTTTAGGACAATATAATAGATAAATCAATAAAAGAGATAAATGAATGTCATTCTAAATAATTGCTAGCTGCACTCCTAGTCTTGAGACAGACCCTTGCTAATGGGCTACCACCTGATAGCTAGAGAGTGAGAGATGTATGTTGTATAGAAGCCACACAGTCATGAAACTCAAAAAAATACATCTAAATCAAAAGTACTTCGCACTAAAAAGTGGCAAAAACAAATGCTCTCTTTGACAAAAACTGCAAAACTGTTCAGAAAGCAAAGGTCTGAGGTAACAGAGACCTGAGAGAAGCCCACAGTGATGATCCTGGGAAGAGGCTGCTTTTCTCCCTGACTGGTCCCCCTCTCTCTCCTCCAGCCTCTCCTGGGTCCTCTCTGTCCGCCTTGTGAATGAACCCAGCCGTCCGGCGTATGTTCATTCATGTCCTGATGTAGCCTCAGGCTCCACAGAGGCCTTTACTCTCAAACTAAAGGGAGCGGACAAGCGTGGGAGGGCGGATTTTGGATTGTGACCAGACACAGACACAGTCACCACCCCCACACCCCCCCCCACCCCTTCCTCTTTTCTATTAGAGCACCACAGGAAATGGCGACCGGCACAGACACCCGGCCCAACCAGATCCCCTGCCCTAATAATGGGCAAACTCAATAAACGTCACCCCCTCCTCCCATGTCTTCTCCCATTCCTGAAATGATTACGCTCCGGCAGAAAGAAAAAAAAGGATGCTATCTCTTTATGACTGTTTCACAGAGTAGCTCAAGAATAACAGCACTTAAACAAAAATAATGCCTCACCTGAGTCGTAGGTGAAGTCCCGTGGCTCCTGTTTGATCATCATGGTGGCGGGGTAAGCGTGGGGGAGCGGGGCCCCCATCATGGCCGGATGTTCGAACAGTGGGTCGGGGTACTCCTGTTTGAAGCCTTGAGGAGGGAAGGGGATGTTGGGCTCTGACATCTGCCGGTGGTAGATGGGCCGGCTGTCCCGAGCCATCGTCGGCGGGGAGGGGAACGAGTGGCACGGCTCGGAGAGCTGACGTCGAAATCTGAGGAGGAACACAGAGTCATTATCAGATACATGTTCAATCATATATAAACAGCCATGAACTTAATTGTATTTACTTCTAGTCTGTGTACAGAGAAGAGTGATGAGAAAAAAGGGCAAGTAATAAGAATATGATACATATATTACATGACACTAATTTAAGTTATCTGACTTATAAGACATATGTTAGAAAATAATGTCAGCTCAAAGGCAAACTTACTAGAATTCACTAAACTATGAAGACTATGAGAGATAAAGCAGGGCTGCAACCCATTTTCTGGGTTTATTAATCGTTTGCTCAATAACATAAGAGAAAGTGCTCCTTAAAGGCTTACAAGTTTTGTTTTAAAATCTAAAATGTTAAGCCAAGAATATCCACTATTGAAACACTTTTTGCTTATAAAAACACATTTAAGCCTTTCTTATCAATATAAGAAAGGCTTGGATCATTTTTATTGAACACAAAATGCCAAGAATGAACTTCCATGCTCAAATAGGATTAGAGATGTAACAATTTGAGAAAAGTAATCAGGAACAGCACGGCAGAGAACACAACAACTACAGAACATTTTGAATACTGTACCAACTCATTGCCTATTGAGGTGCATATCTGTCATTCAGATTTAGCCATTAGATAACATTTGTAGCAGTTTGTTGGCTCCTCCCATTGAACATTAACTCAACCAATGAGTTTTTGCTGTGACTAAAACTTGGATCTTGTGATTATCCCATATGAGCTGATAGCGTATGATGTAAATGTGATGTAAATGTGAAAGGCTGGGGAGTGCAGTACCTGTGGTCCATAGAGTAGGCGTTGTCTGGGAGCGGCTGTGAGGCGGGGATATGGGCGTAGGTCCTGTCTGGTTTGGGTGTTGGAGCCGCAGTGGGTGAGGCATGATGGAGGGGGGACACAGGGGTGCTACAGGGGGGCGTCACGGGGCTAGAGGGCTTCATTCCTGCAGGCTGCTTCTGCTCATAGGCACTGTGGAAACCAGAGGAGAGAGAAGAGTCAAATATGGTCGTAGCACTGAGTGTCTTATTGGTTTGATTTATTGTCGAAGATGTCCGTACTGAATATGAGAGAGTAGGTTTCAATATTAAGGAACATCACAGCACCCTTTGGCACAAGCTGTGGAGATTGTGATGTAAAACAAGGCCTGCCAACAGTTGGACTTTGCATTTCCGTCAGCATGGAAGATAATGAATCACACGTATGATTCACCACTTATGGAATAGTACCTCTTTGCATAAAAAGGTCATTATACGAAGATGCAAGCAGAATAAATGTCATGTATAACAAATCAAAATCAGTTCATTTGAATTAAAAAACATGAATATAATTGGCAGAGAGTAATTTGAAAAAACCGATGCCAGCACATTTTGGTACGTCTTATTTTAAACGATTAGCAAGTGTTTGAAAACTTGTTTTAAGGATAAAGAAAAAATAAATAATTTAATCTAAAGCTAATCAATTGAAAAATGAATACAACAGCAACTAAAGTGAAATATTCAACATGCTTAAAACACACAGATGTTTGGTCAAAGTGTATAAAATACAAATGTTTTTAAACAGACATGACTGGTGAACTATCCCACATGTATTTAGTTTTTGCACGTATTCATACTCTTTTACAATAAAGTTGTTATTGCTGTTTAAGGAAGTGGAACCAAATAACAGAAAGTGTCTGTATTGCCAAATTGTAATTGCCGAGGACTCATTAGGAAGTTTATTTCAGTGTCGTGCGGGGCCCACCTGACGTTGTACGGGCACTTCTCTCCATACTGGAGTTTGAAGGGCCGTTCCTGACTACAGTTGACGCTCAGCTCAGAACACGGGCTGTGCAGCTCCCTCTTGATCTTCAGCTGCAGTCCGTGGAAAGCCACTACACACCCAGAGAGAGAGAGAGGAAGATGGAGAAAAACTAATTGAAATACTGAATGTCAATGAACCACCTCTCTACCAAAGAGTAACTTGTTAGGAATCAGAGAATGTGGTTTTGAAGCAAAGTGCAAATCATTTTTTTTAATGAAGGTGCATTCTTCTTTTTGTTGTTGTTAGTGCTCAGTATTTATTCATAGGTTAATAGCGTTTATTTCTTTAGGCAGAATCTATATGCCCCTAAAGTAGCTTTCATACGATCACTGGACTGAATTGAATCTATTTAATTGTTTTTATCTGCTTTTTATGTCAGGTTGAGCCACCACCTCTATCCCTATTTACGTCACATCCTTAAAATCATTCACAAAAACAATCAACTTAATACATTAGACAGAAATTGCTGTGTAAAGTCACAGCCTTAATGTACATATAATGGTTCATGTGACTGTAACTCTTCCTCTGTCAGCAACTTTCACCATATTGGATAACAGCCATGATGTGTCCTATGTGTACTTGTATTGTCAGGCCATCAGCGATTAGTTGATATAAATAAGCAATAAGTTCAAATAAATACTTTTTTAAGCATCCGTCCAACTACAGATCTGAAACAACTCACTTCAAATCTCATTTGTTGGGCCTTTTCCTGACAGGGAGTGAAATATGACAATCATAAATCTGTGTGGCGTGCTCCTATAAATGCTTTATCTGCTTTCAGCTGCCTGTCAATACGTTCCAGACGACAACAGTGCTCATTGATCTGATGGGGGGAGAGGGGGGGGGGTTGCGCTCTCTACCTATGGCCCCACTGTGAGCCTGCCTGGTGCATCGGAGAGGCTGTTAAGTGCCTGATCAGTCCTGATTAACATGCCATCATCTCAAGTCATGATCAACGCTAATCCAATTGGCTGCGCTTCTTAAGAAAGACCCAGTCAGTCAGAATGAAGTCAGGCTCAGGTTGCCGTCTCACCGCGACTGCACAGAGCCGCGGTGAGGCCGTCCCACAGCATCTCCCCGCTGAAGGGAATGATTTTTAACTGGCATTTCAGGCTGAGAGACAGCCTTTTTCCTGAGTTAAAAAACAAAGGGAACTGGAATTATGAATGGAGAAAGGATGTCCATCAACTCCTGGTTCAACTCAAGTAGAAACATTTAGACATAGGATGACTAAAATACTCATATCTGTGGTTTGGGGATATTTTTGTTTTAAATACTCTCACAGTCCGGACGGTCTCTCAGGCTACAAGGAGCTGAGAGAGGAGGATGTTTTGGGGGCTGACTGACAGCTGCCGTACGAGCAGGGGTCGATCTGCCAACACCCCATCTGACGCACAGCGGAGCCCCTGGGGGGGGGGGGCCACACGGGCCCGGTAGGACAAAGCTCAGGGGTTGTTCGCAGCCCTCGCTGGGGGCCTGACCTTTCCAGGTCATCGATCGGAGGTCAAAGAGACACTTCCTGAGGGGAGACCTTTGACGACACTGGCATGGTGGAGCCTCGTTAAGTCTTACGGAGTCAAAACAATACCTGGGTTTTGAATGTTGAGATCACAATGTGTCACATTCATTACCTGCTACAATAAACTTCGATGTATTTCTTCTTCAGAACAGAACAACTCCCCTCACTCCCGGTTTCAACTCACCTCATGCTAGATTTAATTTAGTTTCTCCATTTAACAGTAAATCAACACAATTTTTTTCAATATACATAGGTCTATAGAAATGGTTTGTTTAGTTATATGCGTCGCATCACCTTTTAACAATAGCTTCACGTGTGCTGCAGCGCAAGGCCTTAAATTAGAAATGGAAATGTCACAATAGATTTCTTCAGCGGGGTGCCAAGGTACACAAATCAATAGTGAGGGTATTGCCTCGGACTAAAACAGAGACTTCCTTTTTAGTCCAGAATGTCATGCCCATCACCGGTTGATTGCTCTCATTATCTACATATTGATTAACTAAGATGGTAGGGTGTTTAAAAGAAGAAGCAGTTAGAACAATTACTGGGTCTATTTTAAATGCAAATGTTTTTTTTTTTAAAATGTTGTCACTGCTATTAACTCAACATTCTGCTACTTTTTAGTTTTTTGTTCTACATATGCAATAAAATATATTTTTTAAATGAAATAAACAATGTGTTCACCTTTTAAAAACCCATTTCTTTGTCATACATGTTAGGACAATTAAGGGTCGTGTTTCTTATTATTTAATTTTCTGGCAATCCTTTCCGTGCATCATGAGAGCACTCTTGGCCTCAAACGTTGTGTCTTCTCAGGTACAAATGGAGTGTTTTGGCAGAACCAGAGCCTACGTTTGGCAGATATTTCTCCTGTCCATTCATAACAAAATACAGGTCTTTTGGCAACAACGAAAAACCTTCCATTCCATTTTCACCTACTGTAGGTGCTCGCCGATCCTGTTAAATGATGGAGGCTCAGATCTGCCGGTAACGTGTGGCCTCATTTTACACCTCCACTGCTCCTTCATTCCCTGCTAAGTTATGCTAATGGTAAGCATCTGTGTTGGAGTTTGAGACAAAGAAAATTCTCCTTCAGCCTGAGGACACTTTTGCTTCCAGGCCGCTCACATGCTGCTTCTGTGCTGCATGGATGGAGAGTGCGAAGTCGACATTGAGAGAAACTGCCATAGCTTCTGCAGAGGTGATAAATCTGAGGCTAAGAAAACATAGAACAACGCAGCTAAGGAAAAGTAAAACCTGCTTTTCTGATACAATCTTTAAAACTACAATACTCAACGCTTTCTCCATAATCTTTGATTCAAAGTCTAGCTTTCAGCAAAATAAAAATATTGTTGCTTTACTTTTGCTGTCAATTAAGACAAACAACTACAAATCTAAAAATCTATTTAGATATAAATACATTTTAAAATGGAGTAGCTAATAGATAGAAAATAAGAGGTTATCTTTAGGACTATTCCAATACATATAAAAAACATTTCGTTAACTCCGGTAAGAATATTTTACTTGAACAAAAATCTATTTTTGCTACAGCAGTTTATTTAGCCAATTAAGTAAATTAGCAAACTACCTAGCAGCCGATTAGGCTAATAACACGACAAAACTATTTGAATCATTTTAAAGGATAAGACTCATATTATAAAGAATTGCCAAATATTTCAAAGTTGTCCTGAAAATCCTTTTAAAAATAATCAATAGAACACTATGGCACAGAGGAATAACGTTTGCCAGTCTTTTGATACACAGTAATACTTGCTAGAATAATCTATGTATTCGTTCTGGTCTTTTCCCAGCTTTGTCGCAGTAATGAGATTGACTACATCTACATCTGTCTTTCTCACCTAACTCCAAGAACTTCCAGCGATATCTCTTTGAATCTCCATCTCTGTTCTCCACCTCACCGTACGCCCCTCCATCTCTCAGCTCGGTGAAACCCATATGGGAGAGCTGCCGGCTGGGATGCCAGCGCCCAACCACGGTGCCCTCACCCTCCCGCCATCTGTCAGTGCCTCTCCAGTCTGCTGCAGGTTTGCCAACAGGACAATTCAGATGGTCAGCAGTCTCCTGCCACCGTGGCCACCCACCCTGGCTACCTCTGAAGGACAACAGGACAGTCTCTGTGACCTCTGCTTCTCTACTGTACACCGCACTGTCCTCCACCTTGGATTTTAGGATAAGCTCATTCACACCAAAGGGTCAGGTTTTTAGCTTACTATTGAGGTATGTTCTGGCTTGAACAATACAAAAGCAAGCCAGATGAATGGAAAAGATTTGAGAGGGTAAAATATTTGATGGACCTCACTCTTCTAATTATGATTGACTTAAAGCTACGATTGTCAAAATTGAGGTAAGACATTGAAAGGCACGCAAAAAGTTAGCAACATAAAAAGCAAGAGTTTTCATAAGAAAGAGAAAACATTTAATTTAACGCAGTTAACTAACAGGAATCTGCTTGAGGATCTCAGGCTGCGATCTGGCTAACAAGGGGTTAAAAGGTCTGAGCTCGGTCTGATGTTTGACTCATTTCAGCTTAATATTATCCCAAATGTATTATTAATTTCAATACAATTTACTGCAAAAGTGCTATGCTATATCGTCTGCATTTTGTCAAACTTTGTTTCCAGGTTCATGACATAGGGAAGACTTGTTTTGTGTCTTTTCTCAGTTTTATGGGCTGTTTGGCTTATCTGAAAGACATGTGCTCGCTCGGGGTCCCACTGAGCTCCTCTCACTCCATTTCTGTCCCCACCTTGGCACTACTTCCTCCAGAAGTGGAGCGTGCCAAATCACCAGTCACCATGTGCAACCACCATGCAAAAACCAGGTGAAGTACGACTAAATACCTCATTCTTATTACTGAGAGTGTAAAACAAGCTCAGGCCATATATTTGTATTTCTCTTGCAGGAGAAATATTAAGGAATGAGGGAAAAAAAGTATATTTGCTTTCATTCTGTAAACCAGGACGAGAACAAGCCATTCTGCTGAAAGGGGTACATTTAGCTATTATTAAACTGCTGGATTTAGACATTCTAACCACACTGGATGGTGTGAACAAAAATGTAATTCTAGAAAAGGTCAGGGAGGAGAAATATTTGTATTCTAAAAAAATTCAGAACAGTCATCTTGATAGCTATTTGTCCTACCTGAAGTTAAAAATATCACTTCAACCACGGGTAAAATCTGCAACAATATTCTGATGTTTATGCAAATAAATCACAGTGCAATAATATCTCAATGGTGGCGAGAGGTACAAGGGCAGCAGAGGGAAGCGAGAGACAAATATAGACAGAGAGAGAAAGAGAAAAAGAGAGAGACCCCCCCACATCCAACCCCTCACCCGTGCACCTGTTTGAAGACCCACAAGACTGCTGCAGCTCCCCATAGAGCTCTAGATTGAGCAAAGGTGAGGGTACCGAGACACGGGAAAACACATAAGCACTCTCCCCAAGTACCAACACACCAGTCCAGACAAGAAGAAAAAACACCACAGATGTTCACACAGATAAACAAAAGCATGCACACAAACACAGAAAAGCAAAGTGGTCTCTTACTCACAGTTTTCAGTCTGGAAGTCTGGAACGAACTGCTCGTCATTGTCGGGAACTTGAGCTAAAGACAGAAGCAGAGAAGAAGAAAGGGAATGGTTGTTTCTGATGTTGATGGACAACGCAGCATTGATCACAGTTCCCTACAGCCCAATACCCTCCTCTGGCAAACAGCCTCCTGGGATATATAACAGCATTTGGTTACGGACCAAAACATCTTCATCTTATAATAGGATTCTTTGTCTTTTATTAAATCCTAGAAGTGTGTTTTTTATTAGAAAAATTACAATTCTGTATATTTGTCTTTTTAAAAAAATCATCATTTTAAAATTGGATTTTCCCCGACAAATTGAAAAAAACTGAAAATTGGCCAATTGTTCAAATTCCCATTTTTCTAATCTCTTTTTCTAACCTCTCGCCAATGCTGGCTTCAATATTTTATAAATCAAATATTGTCAGCATTACCGGGAAATGCACTATAATTACAGTTATGTCAATATCAATGGACACAATGACCTTGAAATGTGATGAAAAATATGATTTACAATGAACCATGTTTCTAACCAAGCCTGCTAGGGATTTAATATTTAGTTACCCATCTACTTCCTAATTCCACTTCCTGAGGTCGCCTTGTCCATTGACTGCTCCGCGGCCTCGGCTCTCGCTGCTTGCCAGCAGCCAAACACCCATTGTTAACTGTATCTAATTGGCTTCTTCCCTACTGGTGAATCCACCTGTACCTACCGAGTCAGGTCTGTTCCAAACCCTCCTGCTTCCCCTTCGCTTCAGACGCCCCTGCACTCAGGCTAATGCTAAAATAATGAAGCCTGCTCCACTACGGCTCCAATTAAACATGTACATATTTATATCACACATATTTGCACTCGCTGACAGTTCTCCGTGTCCCTCAAGTTCGTCTCTGGCAAAAGTAGATTTAAATGTGTCATTAGCACGTCTATTTATACGCACAAAGAGATGGATCCTCATTATCACAGGACCAGTAACATGTCTCGACATGTCTAGAGATGATAAAAAAATAATCACTGATTTTCCAATTTTGTCATTTTTGATATGATCAGGGATTTTTTTTCTTGTTAGGTGTGGATTAAAAGTAGTAAACATCAAGAGAAGAAATTACATCACATTTTTAAACAATGTAAAGCAGCGAGCTAAGACTTATTATTATAATTTGTCTCCAAATGTTGCTCTATTGAAAGCAACACTCGACAGTCTATTGTGTTGTTTTTTTTACATACACTTTACATTTTAACCCGGTTGATTTCCTATTGAGCTGGAGAACAACTTTGCTGTATTAGTCTATGCCGATGCTTTGTTAAAGGGCCATGACATAAACAATATGTAATAGAATAATAACCAAAAACAGATTTGATCTTAAATCATAAAACCTTCTTAAAGCCTCAACACTTTGACTCTTATCATATGTTCTCCCTCTTTTTGCTTCAAACCACAATAACCAAACAGGCCAAAACCAACACAAGTTTGAAACATATGGTGGAGCTCAGCTCTCGGCTTGTCACTACAACACAAACAAATAGCAGAAACTTTACCAAACCCAACTTGGAAAAGGACAAAGAGAGGAGGGATGAGAAAAGAAGAAAAAAGAGAAGGCAGCAGTCGGTTTGTGTCCAAAAAGGAAGTACAGGATGGATGAGTCACCAGGCTCTGTCTGTGAATGAGCCAGCTGATCTCTGCAAAAAAACTCCTGGGGAGAACGGCAGAGCTGGAAATCTGCCGCCATTCACAAAACCAAAAACACAGAAAAACTGAGGGAGGAGGACAGAAGGTAAAAAAGGAGTACGGATAAAAAGGGAGAAGTTGTAAACATGGGGCCTGAGCAAGAGAAACTATCTGAGGCGTTTCGTAAACCCTGCGACAGCTCGATGTGTGAGGCTGAGTTTTAAACAATTCTAACAATTGCCGTGATTTTAAAGAATGCTGTTAGTACCAGGGAAATCATTGCATAAACAAAATATACAATGTTCAGAAATCTCTAAAGGATGAGAGCTTTTTTCCTAGCAATAAAGGTACTTAAAGTAGTCTAAGAAAGCCTGGGTGGAGGTGCAGGGCAGAGGTTTGTGGGGGTCAAGCAGACGCCTGTTAGCTGACGAACATCCTCAACCTCTCGGTCTTTGAGTCGGAAATTCAGTCTGTCTCTCATTATTCCTCCTCTTATTCCAATTACCTGAACTAATAAATCTTAGAAATTGGAAGGTATTCCTTTTCAACTTAATGGACAGGAAGTCATTTATTAAATCTACAATCTGGAAGCGTACATCATCACATTGGTCCATGACAGGCAGAACTGTAATCTTTAACAGTAATACCTCTTATCAGCCGCCGCCGTCTCTTTCTCACTTTGGATACTGAAATATTAAAATCATGTCTTATTCTTTTTCAACGCCCTGCGGTGTGCGAACGCCGCCTCATAATCTAACTGCTACTCAGATTGGGCTCAACTAATACAGTATCTGTTTCAAAGCATACTTTTCATTTTTTAAAAGCTGTGGGTTTCACTGCGAGCTTTTGTAGGGTGTTAAAGAATAGATGGAGCCTATAAATGATTGAGAGTCTTATTCACCTGTGTGAAGGGTGCAAGCTAGAATTTCTCTTTTCCAGGGGATGTATTACAACTCAATTCTTATTTTATTTTTTTTAAGATTGAAATTGATTCAATTAAACTGTGCACTTTAGAGTTCTACTTTACAGCTAGAGTTATTGCTTCACAACCAGAGCACTTACTGATGTGTTGAAATAGATACTGAGATTTTAGAGGTTGGGATTTTATTGGAACAATGCTATGATGAAAAAATACATAGTCCATTTCTAATTCACTAAATCTGCACAAATCATAAAAAAGCGAGTATTTGTGCCTTTTTTCTTTTTACAGTAGATGTTGATTTGTTCTCATAATTTCTAATTATACAAATTAAAATAAAGGACTTGAACTGAATCCAACATTAATTTAAAACATATATATGTTAAAAGCAATGCATTTTTTTTTAAATGTAATACAAATATAAAAATAATGTAATAATTAGGTTTTTCTAATTCTAACTGTTTTATAAACCAGTATGGTTTGGTAAAAAGTAGATGCAGTCTATTGTTGGCTACAAAATATAATTTTTACATCAGGCTTGTTTTCAGACAAAAAAAATCTGTTCATTTACTTTACTTTTAATATTTATATACAAGACAAAACGACTTCATATCACGCTTTCCAATCAACTATGATCTCACACTATACAACTTTAAACTGTGAGAATTTCAGTTTTTACTGCGACTTCTTCCAATGTTCTACTCTTCACTTTAAATCTCTGAGATATCCAACTGACACTTTACTGAGACACAAACTTTCATCTTACATGCAATAATAACAAGTGCATTGACTCTTGTTGAGAAAAATCTAAAGTCAGGCAAAGAAACCAAGTGTAACATGCACATGCACACAAAAAGACTTCAAAGTTAAAATAAGATGAACAATATTCACTACTAACCAAAACTTCGGTGCTGCAGACACGCTGGAAAGAGGACACTCGCACTTAAATCCTGAAGCATCACGTCTCAGTTAGACCACAATGAGCAAGTATTGCCATTAGAGAAAAAATAAATAATAAAAAGCAAATAAACGGATAAATATATGTTTTTGAATTCAATCGTCGCTTTGAAAACTCATGTTTTTAAAGTCTGCGATTAAAAGAAAAATGATAGATCCAATCTTTCTTTTTTTTTTGCCGCCAAGATACAAAACTGAAGAAGACAAGGTGATGGTACAGCTGGAGAAGATAGAGAGGTGTGCTGAGTGGAAGCAGAGAGAGAGAGAAGGGGGGGAGAGAGCAGACGAGAGTGTGTGTAAGAGAGAGAGAGAGAGAGAGAGAGAGAGAGAGAGAGAGAGAGAGAGAGAGAGAGAGAGAGAGAGAGAGAGAGAGAGAGAGAGAGAGAGAGAGAGAGAGCTGGTAGGCTGCAGCAGAGCTCTGGTGGAGGTGGAGGTGGTGGCGGCGGCTGGCATGCAGCACGTTAGCTCCTGCCAAAAGCAGAAGAGACAGTGAGCGTCGTAGAGCCTTCTACTAGTAATTTGTGATGACACTCTCTGGGTAGAGCCTCCTCTGTCTCCCTCAAGACCCTCGCTCACAGTCTCTAATGTATGCATGACACACAAGGTGCCTCTTCCACACAGGCTTTTAATTGGACTGCGACGCAAGACTTGTAACTCCAGGCAGCTTCTTTCCCCCCTCACAACCTATCCATTTTTTTCCCCCCCCCATCTTTCCTCTTCTCTCTGCTCGAGATTTAAAAACACTCACCTTCTGCCAGCCAAGTCTCCTGCAGCTGACTGAGGTCCTGGAAGAGCTCTGGAGGCGGAACCAAAGCAGAGAACAAGACTTAAAGGATGTTATAAAAAAAAAAAAAAAAACACACAATCGAAGGCCTGGAGGAGCATCAGAAACAACTGACTTCATTACAGCGGGCTGATAAGCCGTCGGAGCCAGTGGAGCTCAGTGGGCATGTGTGCGGCTAATAACAAGTCAATTTGTGTCTCTGACCACTGACAGGGCTTGTGAGAATCATCACAGGCCGCTGTGTTGTAATTGAGATTTTGTAGTTAGCAGCGCAGGTGGCCACAAACCAATTGAATTTTGCTAAATGTTTAGGAGCCGTGAAATTAACTTCTCCCTCTGCCCTCTGCCTACCTTCAGTGTCCAGAGCCAGGTCGGTCTTAATGAATTTTCTCTTTCTGTCATTTGCTGGCCTCTCACAGCTTGTTGTCTTTTCTTTCAGCTTCTGCAACAACAACAAAAGAAGAGACACAAATCAATTTATTATTTTCCTCATTGGAGCGTTGATTGTGTTGGCTGCAGCAAATGTGCAAGTGAAATAGCCTCAATAATGTCTTACATTTCTGAAGACATGCAAAGGGACCTGAGCTTCATCCATCAGATATAACTAACCAGTTTGTAACATGGTATTCTGTGTTAAATAGTGGGCACCTTGTATAGATGTTTAATATTTGATAATCAGATGAAACAAATAGTCCCTTAAGGGAGAAATGGGTTTTAGCTGCAGCAGGAAGGAAGAAAGATGACATCAGAACAAAAAGGGAAGTAGATGAAAGAAAACAGACAACAAACAAATATATTAAAGTTGATGTGAAAGATCTGCATCCATTATATGTTGTTTTTTGGTCAACTAACTCACTTTGGAGTTACAGTAAGGCACTTGCTGGTCGCGGAATCTATCCATGTTGCACCGCTGTGGCTTTAATTGACGAGCGATCTGCAGTCCTCCAGTCTCCTGTCCGGTCACCCTTCAGAAAGCAACAAGGACAGAAAGCAGAAAGTTATACACGGGTGGATTGTTCATTCATCAAGACATGGTTCTGTTCAGGAACCCTTTTGCTACTGTTTGAAGACGGAAATTACCGACAACACCTCCGGCGATGCTGTAAAGTTAAGTTGACAATCTGCAAATCTCGTGCGTAAACGAGGAGCGAACTGAAGGGCGCGCCAAAAATGTTTTTGCCTGATTGAATAAACTTGTGAAGCAAAAGAAGTGACAAAAACCTAACATCCACTTACCCAGCAACCTCGCTTTCACCCGCTCGCTGAGTGCCACGGAGCGGCTGCAGGATCTCCACAGTGCCGGCTGCTGCCTGCGCTTCTCCCCGCTCACTGTGCTGCTTTCGAGCGGCTTGGCATCGCCTCCCGGGGCCTCCCATGGAAACAAGCCGCACTACGCTTCCTATTGGTTGCCAATGTCTTTCACTGGATCAGATTGCTGGCAGTCAATCACGCACGGCTGCAGGCGGTAAGCACCGGAGAAGTCAATGGTTGCATTATAGTAGCATACCAAGCGTTTTAATTTAAACAAAAAAGTAAGGACTTTAATGTATTTTGAAAAGCAAGAAATGAGCACTAAACTTCAGCGTACTTGTCATGCTTTTAAAGTTTCACTGCACCTGCCCAACCACTCCCCTCACACACACGCTCATACACACGCACACACACAATCCTCACCGGGTCAAGTTTGTGTCCATGGTAACTGTGTTTTGAAGAGTCTCCAGAGGGACTTGCTTTAAGCCAGCTCTTCCCTCTCCTGTAAGGGATACTTTGTTCGGAGTGCCGAGGACCCGCAGAAAGCACTGACCTGGAAGGAAAGCTCAGGTCACCAGGCAAAATAGAAGACAGCTTTAAGGAGAAAAAACTGACACAAACACACATGGCCGATAGCAGTCTAACTTTAAAACTGGTTTAGTGGGGAACGTTGTAATCGTGCCTTTTTCCTGCAGCCTCCTGATTAGCAATGGTGCAGTTATCAAACAGTGGGATGAGTTTGATTTACTTTCCAAATAAAATGCTGATCACGAGGTAGAATGATCTCCCTGGCTTGAGTTCGAGTTTCAAAATGAAACCAAAATCTAAACAAAACTATAAAATAATTCTGTCTGGCAAAGTGCTTAAAATGAAAAAGAACAGCATATAATAACAGTTGTATTGATCATATTGTGATAATATGGCTAGTCAAGGACTACTAAGTCATAATGGCATAAGTCTACAAGCTTGAAAGCAATTGTGTGTGTTCGAATGTGGCTCATTCACAATGTTACCTAAGTATTCATAATGCAGTATGGGCCATTTTGGAATAATGTGTATTACAGTAATGGTTTAAAATGATTGATTAATAAAATAAAAAAAGATAAAACAATGATGTTGCAAGTCATGTCTAGCTTTATCTGGATGCAATAGGCTAATAGAGGGAAGAGTTGGCACTATAAGCCTATATCACTTCCGGAAGCTTGGACTGTTGTCATTGGTAAAACTGTGTTTCTACAGTACAACAATCAACAACGATTTCCTCTTCACTGATACAGGACAGATCTAGGATAAATCCCAGAAAGGGAACTTTACCATTGCATTAAAACCTTGACTGAAAGATGGACATATCGGAAGTCAGCAGTGGTCACGCTGATGCCATCTTGGATCCACGCACGGTTCCATTACCAGGCAGTTGAAGTGGATGTGAAGTGAAGTGAAGTGCTGTGTCACTTCTGCTGAACTCCCCCGAGGACGGAGAAACGCAGTTCAAGCGCAGGCATCAACCCATCTGACACCGAGACACGCAGTAAACAAAGTGCCACTCCAGACCATGGGAAAGAAAGATTTTGTCCAGTTGTGAGGAAACGGCTACGAGCCTACAGTCTAATGAGGCCATACAGTGGGTGCCTGAAAGTCAAAACTAAAATTGACAATACTCTTTTGATATGAAATCTGTATCTTGGGGTTTGTTTTATACTTATTTGTCCAGAATTGTTATCAACTAACAAACATACAATTGTCCAATCCAACTGACAATATTGGCACAGGTAATTTGATTAAAGCAAAAGGTTGGCACTACTGTAGTCAACATTGCTAGCCATTTCTGCGTCCTAATTGATATAGCTATTTTTTCTGTGACTGTGTCTTGATTAACTCACAAGATAATGTAGCAGCAGCTAACAAATGAGCTCTTGTTAGCTAGTTGAAAAGCTAATGTCTTAAGGCAAGGCAAGCACCTTTCAACACAAAGCAATTCAAAGTACTTTACAAAAAATGAAAGACATTAAGAAAATGGCATTTAAAATCAGTCATTAAAAAGCAAAGATAATAAAATAAACATTAAAAGAAAAAATACGGATAAAAGTTACAGTGCAATTTAAGATGTGAATAGTTCAATTAAAAGCAGCGGCAAAAAGAAAAGTCTTCAGTCTGGATTTAAAAGTAGTCAGAGTTGCAGCGGACCTGCAGGTTTCTGGGAGTTTGTTCCAGATATTTGGAGCATAATAACGAAACGCTGCTTTTCCATGTTTAGTTCTGACTCTGGGGACAGAAAGCTGACCAGTCCCTGAAGACCTAAGAGATCTGGATGGTTCATCATTTAGCAGGAGGTCAGAAATGTATTTTGGGCCTAAACCATTCAGTTTATAAACCAGCAGCAGTATTTTGAAATCTATTCTTTGACACACAGGAAGCCAGACAGTGTAAAGACTTCAGAACAGGAGTGATGTGATCCACTTTCTTAGTGTTAGTGAGGACTCGAGCAGCAGCGTTCTGAATCAGCTGCAGCTTCCTAATAGATTTTTTAGTGAGACCTGTGAAGACACCATTGCAGTAGTCCAGTCTACTGAAGATAAAAGCATGGACAAGCTTTTCCAAATCCTGCTGTGACATTAGTCTTTTAATCCTAGAAATGTTCTTTAGGTGATAGTAGGCTGATTTAGTAAGTGTTTTAATGTGACTGTTGAAACTCAGGTCAGAGTCCATGACTACACCTAGATTTCTGGCTCTATCTGTTGTTTTGAACGTTGCAGACTGAAGCTCAGCGCTAACTTTTATACGTTCTGCTAAAGTAGTAGTAGTAGTAGTAGTAGTAGTAGTAGTAGTAGTAGTAGTAGTAGTAGTAGTAGTAGTAGTAGTAGTAGTAGTAGTAGTAGTAGTAGTAGTAGTAGTAGTAGTAGTAGTAGTAGTAGTAGTAGTAGTAGTAGTAGTAGTAGTAGTAGTAGTAGTAGTAGGGGTCTAGCTAATGAGTAGCTGTGTCTCCCTTTCTCTCCTTTGAATAATGCAGAATGAACGCAGCACTTAATGTGTGAGAGTCGCTGATCATTTAGCAGCTCTTGAAATAACATGCGCAAAAAGTAACACCTAATGGGAATTAGTGTTAACTTAAGGTTAACTAGCAAGCTTACCATACAATGTTGAACCCTATAACTCAACAACACCCTTCCTCCATTTTTACCCTTAACACCCACTTCCCATGACTGACAGGGGCCCAAACTATTTTAGAACATTATGAAACAAATGTTAAGTAACCAATGTGATATCTTTTCATGGGGCCCAAAATCCCTGGCGGCGCCCCTGCCCACTACCATACCCTAAACCAACTACCCGCCCATTAACCAGGGACATTACACTGATGAGTCTGGGACCATCGTTTGATCCCCTGACCCCTAAGGCCTAACTAACATCATTTAAAAATCTTGTTTAAGCTTATTTAACGTTGTTTTGTTTTTAGAATGTTATATATTTGACCTCTGGCCATGCATCACAAGCTCAACCTAAGGATGCTGAACACCTCTGTTTTAACAGTAAAGTCCTTTAAAATTGTAATTATTGGTTGGAATGAACCTCACACCAGTTATTTATTGGAATACAAACATCACAGCACAATGAGTCCTCTCAGATGTTAAGTGATGTATGTGGAATTACGTGTTGAATCCCTAATGGTACACAACAAACTAGGCTTACAATATGTAAGCTTGGTGAAATACAGCATAACAAAGTTGAAGAGAAATAAAGAAGAAAGTCAAGATGTATTTGCACTTGATGATTACTTGTATGATGCACAATAGCTGCAGTATCATTGTAGTTTTTATTTTTCGCACACAAGGCGCAAGTGTAATTACAATTCTGTTTGTCCATAACCGGTCAGGGGTCAAAGGTCAAAGAACACCGGAACATTATGTCAAACAAAAAAACTTTATTTTTTATTATTTCCATTATCACTTTACCCAGTCAACATTGGCAGGCAGAATGAGTTTTCATTTTATTCAGAACAACATGGTGCTAGTTCAAGAGTGAAAGCAGTAAGCGGAAAAATAAATAAATACTGTGTACAAAAATACAACCTCACTGTGCAAACTCAGCACCGTACAAAGCAAAGACGCAGGAGACTTACCAGACCTCAGTCTCCACAGGCATATGGCACTTTTAAAGACTGAAACAGTCAAGCTTTAAATCATCATACAAAACAAGCAGGAGTGCAATTCAGTTAAAACAAAAATATTTATCAGGTTTGTTTCACGCTGGTAGGTCTGTAAGAAATCCACCAAAATGTGTCTTTGGTGAGAATGAATGAGATAAATACTATTTAAATGCAGAAATGTGTTGAATCAGTAGCTTGACCACCCAGTATAATGCCATGTGTAAGGAGGATCTTATGAATTAAGCTGTTTGAAATTAATGAAAATGTTCCAAAAATGTTTTTTTTAAATTAATGTGTAGCCAGCATGTGCATACTCAGTGGCTGTAACATGCCTCTGAAACTGTAATTATTAGATGGGATTGATTTGAAGTATTGATTATTTAAATCAAGCATGTAGCCTACTATATATATATATGTCAATAGTCATTTTGTATTTAGACCTTAAATTGGTCAATATACGCTTTGATGCACAGCGGACTGTAAACACTCAACCGTAGACATTGGAGCAAATCAATGACCAGAGGAGGTCAAACTGCCTCTTGTGAATATCCAACTATAGAGTCACTGTAACAATATACAGTATAAACACTTCTCTTTTTTGTTTCATTTGAACCTTTCTCAATTTAAAAGTTCCTGAGTACCTGCTCAGAAACACAGGATCTCACAAAAATGTAGCCATGTTATGAAGTTTGATATGGTTCAAATGAGCAGCACTGCAGACGTAGATTCAAAAAACAATCAAATTCCACAAGTGTCACAACAGATCTTGGTCACTCATGCAACAGGAAGTGTTCACGCAGTTGGTCAAACTGTCTGGAAATCTCTCGTGCAACATAAAACAAAGAGTGTCATGCATTTTTTATGAGGATCAATATTCATTCCTAATCTTTCCACTGATGGAGCAGCATCACAACATGACAAGGATGACTTGCAGGAACCATTAAAAGAAACAAAAAGTTACTTTCTCTCTTTTCACTACTTGAAGCCATTCACGAGTGAAGCGCTGAAAAAATGCTGATCAAATAAACGTTACATCTTACTAAACACTTACTAAGGATCAGCTGCAAGCTCCAGATATGTCAGCCTCCACAACGACAAACTCTTTCTCTGTCCATCATGCATCAGTCGAATGCAAATGCAAAAAACTGTTAAAATACATCAATAGCAGCAAAGTATGAATAAATAAATAAATACATCCTATCACAAAAACACATTCATTTGTGGGCTTTTTTTCCACATGGCACAGATCACAACAGCAGAAATAAAAATACTTTTATAAAATGTGACTTCCCGAAATAGCTTCAGTATTTTTGGAGCTAAACTACTCTACACACTGTAGTTTGAAGCATCAGTTCTAAAATACACCTCATTCTGCATCGAATAAAAGCTTCTCAGTGACCCCCAGCCACCGGCAATACATACTGAACCTACAGTTTGCTACTTCCACTGCGCTGTCAAACAGGCATCAAAGACCCTCCTTCACTAACAGGCCGAGTGACGATCAACTTGTGGCTGCTGCTCTGCAGCGGATTGTGGAACTCAAAGGTCTTGAAGCGATCAGTCTTTGCTCTCAGTGCGAGTTCGTCTGATGACGGAGGAGAAGAAGCTTCGGCATTGTGGCGCCCCAATTAACATGGGAGCCTGGTTCTTGTGGACGATCTCAATCTGAAGATGGAGAGAAACAAAGGAAGCTCTGGTTTAGTTTGGTGCTGCATTACAAACAAGGATGTAAGGTAATTAGTGAATTAATGCTGCATGCGTACCATTTCCTGCTTTGCGTGTTTTTCTCTCTCTTTGTTTCAGGAATCTGTGGCCCATTGAACCGCCTGTTTAATACTGTGAGCATCATGAGTTGCACCTTAGAAGTAGACATTTTAAGGGGCCCCTCTCCTTCTCCCAGGCAGGAAATTCCCCTTTCCTCTTTTGACTCTATTAGTGCTCATCAATTAATCAATTCAGAGAACATTTTGAGAATCAATTAATAAAGTGTATATGGCACTTTGAGTAAATGTTTTCTTCACACAAGTGAGGATTTGTTCCCTTTTTGTCTAATAACGTACATTAAAGATGTGTGGTTATCGGAGTGTTGGTAGGACAAAACGAAACTTCGGGCCCTTTTCATGGTTTTCTGACGTTGTTTTTTCTCATTTATTCATTACATTTGGATGTGTTTTTATTTCTCTTATTTTTCAACCAATAATAATTAGCATCCACAACAATCTGCCCATATGGGTTCTTGTCAAATAATATGCATTAAGATGGATTCTAGCAAAGTATGGTCTTAAATGTATGAGTACAATATCTGAAAATATGTTGCTCCCCAACAGTGAAGCCATTTCCTTTGAAAGTATAAATTGTAGATCACTGGAAGAACAAACATCAACCATCAAGTGTTGTCATATTAAACCCAAAGTGCATTATACTGTTGCACTAAGTATCTAAACGCAGTAATGGGGAGAGGAAATGCAACCATCTGCATTAAAGGGACTTCTGAGGACCGCTGTCTTCTATTGTACTTGACTTGGTAGCAACCTTTCTCATGCGTTCTAAGATCATGGAACATGATTTGCGTTAATGTTTCTAGAAAATAAAAACATTTTCATGGAAAACGCTGGTCTCATCCAGTAAGAAATATATAAAGGAATAACTGAAAAACATTTGGAGGATAACTAAGCTGTGTTTTAAAGATGATACATTAAGAATTTCAATGAAATATTATCCCCAGCTACGGAGCAATGAGGCTCTAAAAAAAAATACAACTAATACACATTATCTTTGTATTTGAACATAACAATTGTGGAAAATGCAGTCACATTTCAGTTTGCCGTAGTTATATCAGAGCTAGTTATCAAAGAGAAAGTGATGCATGTCATATGTCACTTTAAAATGCAAATGGTTGTATCGTGTTAAATATGTTATGCATGCAGGGGAACTGTTACGCATTTGCATAGTTGCTGTTGTTAATAATTAGTGGGATAACATCCCATTTGAACTGTGGTGTTTTTATAAGCATTTAACAGTTCGACTGATTCAAATTCAGCTCCAACATACAGTATGAATACCTCGCCGTGGAAATCATTGCAGCACAATAATGGATTGTCAGAACCCAACTTTGTGCCAGCAGACACAAGAGCACTCGTGTCTGCATTGGGGTTTTCAGCTTCGTCTGAGCAATCCATATGTAAATCTCCGCAGCACTTCATCTGCAGTAGCGTTGTAATTAAAGCTAAACACAACCGTAATCAACACAAAGTGAGGAGTTTCATTTTGAAAAAGAAACAACTTGGACAGAGGGCAAACACTTATCAAAGCACATGTTGGAGGAAAAGACGGAACGCTAATTAGGAGAAGATAGACTTGCATCTCTAAATATTTGTTATCAGAAATGACTGCAGAAGTAACATAAAACAGATCTGTGGGAGAAATAGAAGCAGCAGACACTGCACTCAATACCAATCTGTCTTTACTTCCAGAGCCAGTCCTTTAAGACCTTACTGGATGAATTGATTTTGGTATTAACTTTAAATGAATACACTTAACTATTAATTGAATTAAATGTATTGTATTTTGTGCATTCTTGCACAGTTTGTTGTACTGTAATGTTTATTCGTAACACCAACCTGCCAAGGAACTACAGATTAAAATGAGCGACTAAGGTCAAATACATAACGTCATAATGATGTCCATTATTGTGCATGTTCCTAGTAATATAATATAAGGTAAGGTCAAGTTGTATGTACCACAACATCTTTTGAGACCAATATGTGGAGTATTATGTGGAGGATTTAAAAAAAAAAAAATACATATATTATTCTGCACATTAGCAGTTCATCTGTAGTGATTATTGCAAACTACCATCTTAAAGGTTTTGACACTGGGATTTGGAACGATTCAAACAAATAAGGCTATAAACAGAATAGCTCAAACAGGTGATATCACATATTCAGGTGTATCGTGGATGTGTGAGGCTTTGAATAATGACACCATCAAGTGAGAGTAAATAGATACCAGCCATTTTTCCATGTAGCAAGTTTTTGTGATTTCTAGTCTTTCAGGTTGCTACATGTAATTGCTGGATCATGGATCATGGCTGACCCTGTTGCTGTGGCCCTGCTCACTGGTACTACTGTAAATATATCATCATTATTCATGCCATATGAATCGTTTATTTTGTAGTTTTATTGTGATGTTTGTTCTGGAATACTTGTTGCACGTCAGTCTGCCCTGGGAGAGGGATCAGAGCGACTGGGGGGGGGGGCTCCGTGAGGTTTCTTCAATTTTTCCCCCTTATACGTTTTTTTTAAAGAGTTATTTCTTATCTGTTGCAACAGTCTAAGGAAACAGTGTGTCATATGCTGAGCAGACTCTATAGGCTGCTGGGGGTCATTTAGTCATTTGTGATATTGGGCTATTACATTTTTTTATTTATTTGATCACCCTTACATTTGTTATACACGTACATTAGGTGCAACAGATCACACTTATATTATGATGACACACAACACGGAAGACGGGTGTCGTCAATGGTGCTAGAGACTTTTAATGACTCACAGTGCAGGGAGTCTGCATCCAAGGTTCCCCGTCAATCTGCATGGGGAGGGATTTACTGGTTCTGCAAGAGAAGAGAACATGTAACAATTTTAATTTCTTACAATCTTCAACTGGAAGGAAATGATAACTGAGGACTATTTTACCATGATTAAACTGCTAATTGTGTTTTGATTTTTGCCTCCAGGCCAAATATTGATCATGCTAACAAAATCAAGCAAAGATTCTGACAAAAAATCATCAACAAAATACCAAATTCTGATAAAGCAGTGTGTTGTGGTTCAGTAGAAAGCTGACCTGACGGTCACGGAGGAGCACTGTGCCAGGCGTCTCCCAGCGCTCTTCAGGCCGGTGTAGATCTGACCCATCTCCATGGCTCCTTCCAGCCCCACCACCTCCAGCAGCTGGTCAGACAAATCTGAAACACAGAAAACATAACCGTAAATATACTTATTTCCCTATCAAGACCAATATACAAGATATGCTGCTAGCATGCACGCTAACTTGAGATTTAGCTCCAGTTTTGCAAGGGCTGCTGATTAATAACTAAAACGAGGAAAATGACCCGATCAGAAAATGACATGAAGACATAAGGATGGTGTCATGGTTTGTTACTGCATGCATGCAAAGTGTGCCATACAAGTATAACCGTTAGATCTGAATGACTGTTTTGGATAGGTATATACACACTATGCTTAAATGGTTCCATAATTAAGTTTATATACAACCTTTATGTACATGTTTGCCCTAAATATGGCTGATCAAGACCAACACAATGAGGGGTGGAATTAAGAAAATGTACAAAGGAAGAGAGGAAGGAAGGGAGACAATGAGAAGGAAAGTAAGGATAAATAAAACAATCTAACTGATGTTCTTCACTTCAGAAACATTTCACCACAGATACAAAACTAATCGGAAAAAAAGGAAGCCAGAACCCTAATACAAAACAGCTATTAATTAAATTGCACCGGCAATGCAAAGCAATTTTGTGATATTATAATTATTAATATCTCTTCTGTTTTGCAGTTATGAGCATTGATTTTGCCCCTGCTGGAAGCCCCGTGTCACGCAGGGCCCATCTGCTTCAGCGGCCCGCTCTGCCTCCGACTCTCCATCGAATCGTCCCTCCACAAATGAAGGAGCTGCTGCCACGCTGCTGGGAGCATGCAGACACTAATTGAAACGAAGACCCATTTTTAGGCGCTTGGTGCGTGTGAGCGAGTTAGTTCTGTGTCACCAATGCTGCTCCAACGCTGTCATGTGTATCTGAGCCACGGTGGTTTCCTGAAGAAGTGTCGTGGGTAATGTTGCTGTGGTCGTGAGGTGTTGTTGTCCCTGCCGAGCTGTGGTGTCCAGCTGTCACCATGGTGATGGACATGCGTCTGCCCCTATCTCGGTGCCGGACTGTGAGTGCAGTGCTTTCCAGGGTCGGAGTGTGAGAGTGTGTGTACAGACCCAGCAGGTTGACCTGCTGACACAGGGCTTTGAAGCTGCTCCCCCCGCTCTGACTTCTCACGTTAATGCAAACGGCTCACACAGGCCTACACTGACACGTATGATGGACAGCATCACCATGGCGATAGGGATTCCTTGTTGCCCGGGGCTACAAAGATCCAGTATTCCCAAGAGGGCTTACTGTTTGAAAGGGCGTAGAGCCTTTCTGCTAAATATAACAAGGTCAGCAGACTCTGTACAGCCAACATATAATGTACCTGTATGTTTTGGGTATAAACACAGAGATGTTTGATTCATTTTTTATTTGAACACATTACTAATGCAACCAAATTGTTTACAGTTGCAAATACCATATGAGGTCATTCAAAGGAATAGTTGCAGTTTGGGAAATATGTCTTTTTGCTTTCTTAATGACTCCAAGATAAACATATCGATGCCACTCTTACATTAGACCTTGTTGTATATTTAAGTCTCAAGACTTATAGTTTAGATTAGCATAAAGATAGGAAGCAGGAGGAATGATATGCCTACAAACACCTCAACAACAAATGTATGTTTTGACACAACATTTCGTTTTACCCAACATGTATTATATTAACCTTGAGGGTAAAAAAATATAATTGAATCTCAATGATTTCAGACCCATGATACAATCAGTGACAGTCTACTTGACTGACACGGATTGTGACTATGATTTTGAAGGATATTTATTTTCTTTTTTTAACCATTAATTCTAACATTAGAGGTTAAAACAGAAATAAACGTAACAAATAAACAATGGCCTCAGCCAAGTTTTCTAAAAGCCATCATGTTTACTTTCAAAAGGCAGTAAGTGGGGGAAAAATACAGTCACCTAACAGTTTACATAAGAAGGATGTTGCAATGTTAAACACACAAGATAAGCAGTCTGAGGCCGAGTATAACCTACAATAAACATTATGTGCCTCACTCAGGTGTAAAAGGCAATATTTGACAGCAATAAAAAAACAGCCACTGAAAGTAACAACGCAGAGAGAGTGAGACAGTCATGTGAATTAAAGTCCTTACAGTATGGGAGATTCCCAAGCAACCCTGCGGCTTTAATCTTGGCAGCCATGTCCCATCAGAGTGTGGGATAAGAAACGGCGTCCTTGTCATTGTCAAACAACTACCTGTCGGGGCTGGTGGCGGCACAGTGACACATGTGGAGCAACAGTGAGAGAGCGGAGGAATAAAAGGGAGACAGTGAGGAGCAGCAGCCGATCAGCTGAGAGTCAAACTAAACGGGAATGGCGGGAGGAGGAGGCCAATCCTCTAAAGAAAGCTTCATGGGGCTTGTCATGGGGCATCAGTCCCAAGCCTCAGCCCCTCCACCCACACATGGACCTCCCACCCCCCCCCCCACCCTGCTTAAACCTCAGTCCCATTCTAAATAATTCATTCCGTAGCCATTCCCTTCCACCTGAGGGGCTTGTCTCCTGGCGTCACCAGCGGGACGATTTAACAGCTCCCGAAAGGTCAGGTTTTTCTTCTTCTTTTTTTTATCCAGCAGCCACCCTCCACCCACAAACTCGCGCAACCACACACACAATAATCCCTGCCAACAGTTTGATCCGTGCATCGTGCTCAGCGGTGCCCCCTCTGGGCTAATGCACTCCTGTGTTTACCTCTAAATACGTTGTTCTCTTGATCTGACAAGTTAGGCTGCTCACCTTGAGGGCACCTTCCACAAGGGCACACACAAACACACACGTCAATAAAAAGGCAAACACAAACAGAGAAGAATGACAAGAGGCAGACAAATGCATACTCCCCACTCACACTAAGTGCCTTTCCAGGTTCAGATGTGGGCCTTTTTATAAACCACACTGATTGATTTTTATTCAGGGATTAAGGGAGTGTTCATTGTAGCAATATTGGGTTTAAATTGATCAACTATCTCCCTCACAGTCGGTGCCACACAGCACCTTAACCTCACAGTCTCATCTATAAGCATCCCGGCATACAGCAGCAGTTGTTTAAAGAACGTTCGTTGTGATTTGGCTGACTTTTATTGCACTCTTTCACTGCCATTGCTGTGATTTGCTGTATTTACACAACAATAAAAACACGTTTTCTCTCATCAAAAGAACAGTTCATGCTGCTTCTGTAAATGAGGTGCTACTTTTCTCTTTCGTTCTTTCTCCCTATCTGTTGCATCTTCATTTTGAAGGTGCAACAGCATCTGATATATAAGGAAGCAAACATGGAATAACAACAATTAAAGAGTCCTGTTTTTTGTTCATGTTCTGATCAGTGAAGCCTCTTAAGGGATCACTGTCGGCCATGTCTGGAGGTCCTCACTGAGACACCTACAGATTTAGTGTGCACCTAAGCGAGCAACAGTTGAACATGATGAGAAATAAAAAAATATTTGTTTCCGCCAAAATGACAACTTTTGTGGGAATTAAAAACTAAAAAAACATTCTCAATCTTGTAGTCGACCAGAGGTGAAATATCTTGAAACCTTAAATTCATCTTTGAGTTAAAAAATCTGCAAATTTGGAGATTCCTGTTTTTAACAATAACGGAACGTAACACGTTTACCATGGCAATGACCTCAAGCTAACTCTGGGGCAGAACAGTGAAGCGGCCCCTTGAGGCTGGCTCCAAGAGGGAGCAAAACTGCAAAGCCCCTTATGTTAAAATACCCAACTTCACAGCGCCAACTTTTCAAATTCTAAATGCAGAGATGACATTTTTTGCATGTTGGTAATAATATCTTTACATATTAGATTGGAATATGTCTTCTTCATATTTCTTCCTTTTTCTAATGAGACCTTCAAGTTGCTCCCACCATTTTACCAGTTAGGACAGAGCAGCTGACTCATTCTGCTTTGTTCATTCATAGTTCCATTGACGGGCTAGGGTATGCCCCCCCCCCCCCCCCCAGTCCGCTCTTATTAACTGAGCCTGCCCACTGGAGCCTACACAGACCATTAATACACAAGTGACAGTTCCAAACAGTGACAAGATTGTACCTTTCTTTGCAAACACAACCTGCTCGCTATGATTAACCTTGTCCTCTGTGAAATATTCATGCACTCAAGAAAAGTTTGGTGGAAAGTTTAGACTTTGATCTATCTAAAAGGAGCAAGGACACAGACTGTGTCTGGTGTAGGCCCCTGCACTTTAAAACCTGGATGTCTGCAGACAATGTTTGTAGTCTTTTCAATAGTGAGATATTTCAGACAGGACCAATGTGGTATAACAAATCCACATATACTCCTTTATATTTCATTATCTTATATCATTGGGAAAGCAATAAACAAATGTAACATGTATGAATTATTATGTTGTCAAATCTACCTTGAACTGCAAACATCAGTTCCTTGGGGTCCAGCACTGGTGTCCTCTTGTCTTGGCTCTTTTTGCCTCCTTTGCGGTTACCCCTCCTCTTCTTGCTCTCACCCCAAAGGTTTGAGCCGCCGTGCATGCTGGGAATGTTGAGAATGGCAATGCCTTCCAAAGAGATGCTGCTGAGGTCCAGAGTAACACCATCACACTTTTATAAAGGGAAAATAAGAATTGATTTGTTTAGTATTTCAGGCAGAAATATTATTATCAGTCAAGTGATATAGTATATTCAAATGAATAATCATCTACAAATCACCTGATGAACAAGGACATGTCCGAGCCTTAACCTGTGTCTGTACTTATCTATACATCTGCCTCTCTTTCTATATCTACCTGAGCCTGCCTTTAAAGCCACTCTTCTAGTCAATTTGATCTGATTAAGCTGAAAAAGGCTGTGAGTCCTCTAAATAGTGGATTTTGTACCAGTATGGATCCTCACCTCCCATGGTAGTGTATGTACTTATCGAGCACTAATTAATGAAGACCTCTGCACTGTTAGGATCGCACGAGAAGGGGGAAGATGAATTGTATAGACACCATCTTCATTATCACTCAATATCACACACAGCAGGGTCGTGTAGGGCTAATTACCTGTGTGTTGAACTGATGTTCAGTGAGAAGCGGGTGGGGAGGTGCACAGATAGCCTTCACACATCAACACTTTGTCTGGCTTCATTTGAAACAAGTACCATTTGTGCCATTTATGGAACACAGGCAGACCAGAATATGTTAACAAGCACCATTATTCTAACCAAGGTACTTGCAGCGATCTGCATTATGTGAATATGTTTTTTTAAATAAAATAAAATAGATGTAGGACTGGTTGGGATTCCCATAAAAGAGTTGATCAAATAATGTTTCAAGCCTATCTATCCCATGCTAATAGTTTCTCTTATATAGGGCTCAAAATACTGTGAAAAATGTGGTTTGATTTACCTCAACCTCCAGAAAGTCATGGAGCTTCTTACATGTGGCAGAAAAGGTCTCTGAAGTGCCAAACTCAAAGTACCACAGCTTATTCTTTGTTCTGAAAGAAACAAGACAACATGAATTGCAAAGGGACCGAGCAAAGAGCCAACAGAGAGGAGTGTTTTCCCCACATCAAAATCTGAAGCGTGTAGTCATACTGTAGCATCTCTTCTGCTCATTCATATCTCTTGTCCTTTATGAGATTATGGAAAGAGAACATTCTGTAGAGGTGTTTTGATTCATGCTTGAAAAAAAGGATCTTCTAAACTACACAGGAAATATACCTTTAATGTTTACCACTGACCGAATCCACACAGTCATTAATCTCCAGAGAACGCATAATGTGGGTCATTAATCACATATTGAAGCATAATGATGAATCTTAAGCCAGTTCAAGAAGCATCTGAGGGAGCACACGGGGTGACCAGTGGGTACCCATGCCCAACATTAGGGCCCAGCGAGGGGTGTGAGAGGGTAATCTAACTGCCCCTTCAATTAACAGAGGACTGGGGCGCTGCTCCCCGGGCTTCCTGCAGCTAACTATCCCATTGCTAAGGCTGATGATCAATGACCTCGCAGGGGTGACTCGCCATCTGTCCGCAGACTGCTACAGCACATTACATTCACTCATGACTACTCAAATAAAATGTACCTTTTTCGTTTTAGAGATTGGATTTTTTTGTTGTAACCCTTTATATAAACATATATTTGTTTTATTAGTTTATTCGATGCTAAATTGCATGAATAACACTTAAAACTGCAAACTGACGTCTTACAGTTCGGTCAACACCTTCAAATTGAATAGATATCTTGTGGACTTAAAGGTGGGGTAGGTCATTTTGGAGAAACCAGCTCGAGTAGCTAGAATTTGAAAATACACAGCCGGAAACAATCTGCCACTTCCTTACAGAGCCCCTCCTCCAACACACACGAACGCGCACATGACCAATGAGGGCACGAGATAAGTTTGTGCCCCGATGGAAGGCTGACAGGCAGGTAGGCCATCCAGTTACTTTAGCCGGGCCGGCTAAAATGATTGGTCGTGCTTTTTACAGTACTAAGGCTTCCACAGATGACATTTGTTTATGGATTTTTTGTCAAAGCACTTAAGATATTCATTGCTATCGGGATGTTAAGAGCATTCCATGGAATATAACATAAAGTGTATCTCGAGCCGGTTTCTCAAACTTACCTACCCCACCTTTAAAGGGAGAATTAAATACTTAAATATTTGTAGGCAGCTGATTTAACATTTCGTGCAATGCCAGGGCTACCAATATTAGGCCTAAGCCCGCTAAAGCTTCCTGGAGGGCAACATTAGCAGAGATGAGCTATAAATTATTTACACGTCGTTTTAAAGAAAGTCCTATAGGGAAGTGGATAATCTTCATTACTGGAGCTAGACCTTTCTCACAACAGTATACCCTATAATTATAAGGTCTACTTGAAAATAAAACGTTATAGTCTAATATCAAATGGACCTAAGTAGATAAATATAAAAGCGAGGGCATTAAAACAGGAAATCGAAGAGGGACAAAGACTAGACAGCTGTTGTTGATGTCACAGAAATCACAATGCAACATCACAGCTTTCAAGCAGCGTCACAGCGTCCCGCCGATCGCAAAAGCCTTTTAATCTTTCCAAGAAACAGCAGACAACACACTATTCATCAAAACGGTTCAAGGACAGACACAATGCTGACACGCAGAATTGAAAACAGTAAAAAATGGCCTTCTCTTAGCTTGGATCAAAGCGCTACAAGAGGAACGTATTAGTATAAGAAGAGTAACAATCACTGAATTATTGATTTCCTCATTAGGACTTTTGTCAGGACCATTTAGCCACTTTATAAATGAGCTTTCATTAGGGTACTTGCAAGGTAGCCCAACTCACAGTTGATTTATAATGTGCAACATGGTCAATAGAAGAGGGATGGGAGCAGAGGGAGGTGGGAAGAGGCAGGAGGGCGACGGGGCCACGCTGAGAGGCTTTCCACAACAACACATCCCTACATCTCCCACTGCATCACCACCTTCATCATCCTCATCATCACCAGTCTGTAGGCTCAGTAGTCAAACCCAAGAGAACACATTAACAAAGGCCTGGGCAATTTTGCAAACAAACAAATGAAGGTGGCTACTCTGAAAAGCATATTCAAAACTAGTGGCTGTTGGAGATTGATGGAGAGAATGAGGCCAAATACACTACAGCGCATGTGTTGTATGCTCTTTGTTATTGCTGATTTAAAGCTGGTTCTGGTATGTTGTTGTAACATTCAAGAGGCTCTGAAATCTGAAACTATGTGTAAACCAAGGCGTTTGAGAGGTAAAAAAGTTAATGGAAAGAGGATGCTCTCTAACTGCAGCAAGCTGAGGTAAGGGTGTTATTTCAAACTGCTTCAAAGAAGAAAAACGTCAAATTATTCAAACTACAGCTTCATGAATGTATGGACGCGAGGTAAGGAGAAACTAGAGGAAAGTAACAGAGAACACAGACATGTTCCTCACACATTTACACATTCTGCAAGCAGTACTGCTAGCTAACACATCTCCAAGTAAACTATATATTGCACTGCATTGTTTTGTGAACATTACCCACAAACTGGAACTCATTGCACACGGCCAGACAAGAGGAAGAACCGCATGGGGGAAAATACAATATCTCTGGTTCTGCTGCATCAATTTAGATGTTTCTTTGTCGTTTACAATCTGCTACATGTTTCACCCGTTACATGGACATTCATATAATAATGACCAACTTTATTTTCAAAAAACCTACTAACCGACTGATTCTCCTCAAATCTTACAGCAACATCATGTGTACAGGAACATCCTGAACAGAGACATCGTAATACAGAGAAACCCAGCTGCACTTGGACACTGAAGACACACTGTAGGAATAGATACAGTAAAAGACAGAATCTAACCATCCTGTCGATTTCCACCACTTAACCTAACAAGCGCACCATGGCAACAAATCACCTCATCTGCCTGTTCATTAGGTAATTAGGAGCATCCCATTGGCCGGATCGGATTGTCATTTGTTATCTGCCGACTGATGCTAAACACTAGACTCCTCTGACAGAACGACAGAGGAGCGTCTTCAACAGTGGCAAGCTTATGCTAGGATTAATAGGGAGTCCATTTGAGTAAGATGATAGTTTTAATGTAGATTAGGAGGACTTTATTTTATGGTAAGTGCAATAAACGTGAACATAAAGTGCCCATGTACTTATACTGTTGGCTGACTCCTGCATCCTTCTAGGAGATTTTAGAAATCCCTTCATTAGATCTCCTGTGGAATATCTGTGTCAGATTCTTGTTTTCAGTCGCATGTAAGTAGCTGGTTTTATAATTCAACTAGTAGCCACAAGGCCCCTGTGTGTGATTGTAACTTCAGTGTATCAATGCAAAGTGTACTGCAATAATAACTTTGGCGGTGTGAATGTGAGTTCAGCTGTAGTAGTTTCAGCTGGCACACCAAAAGGAAACAGTGGCTCAGGTTTCCAGAGCTACTGAGGTGTCGTTTATTTGCACAAACAAATCATAAAACAAAACTGAAAGAAGAGGACATATACAAACTGTGTGGCCAAGAAAAACAACAACCCAAAAGGGCTTTAGAGAAACATCTCACACCAAGAGAAAAACATCAGAAACAGAAAGACAAACGTAGCTCAAAAAGGCTGAATTCAAACAGTACACAGTGTTCATCACAGCTCCACTGGTCACCATATTAAAGGATGTCAGACGCAATAAGCTTCAGTGTAGCGCCGCTGTCCCGAGGCCACAGCACCTTTAGATGCACTTTCCACCGGCCACACTGAACGCCAGGCACACAGCCATTGATTTATTTCCCCTCTGACACTTAATCTAACCCACAATGATCTACGACCTTATCTTCACACTAATTTCTTCTTGATCAGAGGTGATAAATATCGCATTGACATAACCAAGTCTTTGTGCATTGCATCAATGCACTGTTTTGTTTAACATGACACCGCCTAGAGCGCTCCGACTCCGACTGGCAGTTTGAGAAATGACCCGAGTTGCATCGCCTTGCCTTCAGAGATGCGGCAAGCAGTTTGAAAAATGTATTTCTTTCTGTTGCACTGCAGTGATTCATAGGAGCTTTTTATATACCAAAACTACTGATATGGGTATTACACATCCAACATCTTTAGAAACAAAAAAACTGAGCTGTTTATAACTCACATAGAAATGAACTGATAAGCTGTATATACTTATACTGCACAAAAAGAGCTAGATTGTCTCATTAGCAGACAGTTGGTGGCAGTGCATGTGAAGTTAAAAGAAAAAATAAGGATCATTTTAGGCTTAAAGGTCTAATTTGACTTATGTGTTAATGGCAGGAATACTTGGTTAGGTTGCCCTTCATTGCACAGACATTCCCGCTCTTTCATTTTAACACGCAAATGCTGTTATCAGGCTGCTTAACGGTGAGCATAACAATCAAATAAAGTTGAAATTAAGGAGAATCTAATTTGTAATACTGTGGGGAACTGTTAAGACACCTGAAATGAACTAAAAGCAAAACTGTTAATTAATGATACAAATCATATTTAGAGACTGAAAAGAAGCCTGTATCTTAAATCATTGACATTCTTCAACCTTCCCTCCACGTTTTCATTCAAAAGCAATAAAGTGTGATGAAATCAAATGTTCCTTTTGAGAAAAAATGTAGGACATTACAGCAGGAAACATTATCCTTTAACAAAGAATAATGGTGAATGTGGGTTAATAATAATTAAAAAAAAGATATGGCTATTAATGTTTTTTTTTTAAAAATACTTCATGTTCGGTATAAAAGGCCTTTATCAACAATGTTACCAGGAACATGAAGGTTTTGTATCCGAATGACATTTGCTACGAGTGATACAGATTAATAAATGATGTCCATTAATATTAGCCCGGTATCCATAGGAATAACATCTATTGTGGATACTGACATACCTTATGGTACACTTTTTACAATTACCACTATCCTTTTTATTTTTTATTTTAAAGATAAATTGCCTTTATCGGATTGGTAACAGAAGAGAGAAAGACATTACATTAAACAGGAAACATGGGGTGAGTCTGAGACATGCAACAAAGGTCCACAGCCAGACATTAAGCCAGTGAGTTGTGGTAAGATAACCATTCAGCTACTGGACCTCCAGCTTCATACTGTTTAACATGTTCATTGTTGATATGGCTTAATGCAAAGAGTTTTGTAGATACATCATCAGATTTAGTAGTGAATACAAATTAAAATCACTATCACTATCTTACTATTGAATATGTGTGTGTGTGTGTGTGTGTGTGTGTGTGTGTGTGTGTGTGTGTGTGTGTGTGTGTGTGTGTGTGTGTGTGTGTGTGTGTGTGTGTGTGTGTGTGTGTGTGTGTGCCCACTGAGCTGGGGACAGGGCCACAGGTGAGATCCCTCTAAATTACACACAAGTGGTCATTAATTATAGATGACACTTTGGTCACATAAACGATTTCATCCTCAAATGAGGTCCGAGGGCGGCCGCTACTGAGGTCCACTATTCATGTGTGTGTGAGCGTGTCGGTAAATGAGTGTGTGCACATGTGTAATTTAAAGCGCCATCACCTGTGGCCCTGTTCCCAGCTCAGCAGGAAACACGCACACACCTACATGCCTACACGTACATTAGCATTAGGTGTGTTGATGGCTGCGTGTGTTGGTGATTCCGGCGGCCCTTCCAGCACATCGCAGTCTTTGATGAACATACTCATTATGCTAAAGAGTGCTCCATGCCTGGGCTTCCCTGTGCCTTCAGGAAAGGTTAACTCAGGATGGTTACACAGCACAGCGAGACACTGTGGGCGCACGGGCGCAGAGCGGCTCTGGAGGAGCGCCGTGACGGTGTTAGATGTATCGGGACCAAAAATAGATCTGGGTATGCAGGGCAAATATCATGGGAACATCAAGGTGCCATGATCGATGCCAAAGAATAAACAAACATTGCAGGTGAAGCCTCACCAGCTTTCACACGGAAACTAAAACGTCCCAAATCAGATGTTTGCCCTTTGATGAGCTCTAATCAAAAGCCACTTTGTATTGGCTTTGTATCAGAATATGTTCTTGAAGTGAAACAGACTAATGTCTATTCATATCTGCCCAAGATCCCTTTGGTATTTATCCAGATTGGATGATTCCAATCCTTATCTTGAGTAAATGTTTCTATAACCACAACAATTCCCATAAAAGATGTATAACCTTTATATAGGTAGAGTTTGATAAACGCAACGAAGGTCAACAGCCTGAAATTTGCCCGGGGAGTTGCACTAAAAATAGTCATTGCCTTTACTTAAAGATCTTGAACCAGGAAACAATCGGAATTTCCATGGTTCAGGAGTAACGCAAGGAGGGAAATATATATATATTTTTAGAAGTTATAGGAACAGAAGTGTCGCAACTTCAGAGTCTTTTGTTTTCATTCGTCTGACGCTATTGAGGTTGCGCAAAGTGGATATCACGGTGTTGATTAAATGTCCCGTAAAGCTTTGGGGTCGTGTCAGTCTGCACTGTACTGTATGTCAAAACTAAGAATTGGTTCAAATGAAAGAAAGGAATCTGCTCAGTGGCTCAAATCTACCAATCTGAACATCAACGGGTGAATAAAGATATACAGTATATAAGAATGAAACCGTACAAAGTTTGTCATTTTCTAAACCTCTCTCTCTCTTGCTCCACCTCACTCTCCTCATTTCTCACACTATCCATCCCTTTCCCTTAGAGTCATAGATTAGTGTGTAATTACATTGGAGATCAGCAAAAAACGGGGTGAAGAAACGGAGTAGTATATTTTAACAAGGCGGTGGAGGAGTGTCAGAGGGGGGAGGGAGGTGGCGCAGCCCTCGTCACGGGTCGACTGATTGTCTGCTTTTAATCCTCAACCTCATTATCACCTCCAGGTCCGGCAGTGGCAGTAAATGAATCTATCTGCCGAGTGTCAAATCTTCACACCTTCGCCCTGGTAATCACCCCAAGGTGCAAATACAGAAGATGGATTGAACAAGAGAGATGAAGGGAAGAGCTAGGGTATGACCCCTGCATTTCATCAACAAAATCCCCTCATTTCATGATTAACAAAAGCTACATGATGTTGTTTGTTTGGTAATTAAATCTCGTTAATTTGTATGCAGTTTCTTTGAGGTCAAACCAGGGAGAAGATGTATACTGTAGATTGGGATCGGGGGGGGGGGGGGGGGGGGGGGGGGGGGGAGTAAAAAGCTTTACTGCAGTCAGAAAATATAAAAAACTAAATGTTGGGCTGAAAACTTACATGTTTGTTTATCTCATAATTTTGTCTAAGAAAACAACTGAATAGCCACGTCAAGGTTTCAAAAATACGGTGACACTAGAACTTTGAAAATACATAATAAATAAGCAATTGAATCAATGAAAATGTGCCAATATTAATTTTGTTTTCTATCCACAGTGCTGTTCCAAAATACATGTTGTTGTACAATGAACACTATCAAAAATAAATCTTCTAATTCTGAGTATTCTGTACAACCAACATGTTCAAACAATTTTACGATGCAGAAAGTCAGGAGAATCTCTACAGCAGTTCAAAAGTCTTTCATTAAATACCTTTAACTGATGTTAATCAAAACAAAGAAAACGACTCATTAGTATCTTGTGCAAGAAGGTATATTAGTAAAAGTCTCTATCTACATGTGTGTGTCTATAATGTGTGATTATTAGGATTTTATTTGACTGAAATATTTCAGTGCATTCATGTTTTTAGTGAGTTTTATGGTGCATAAAGCTTGTTAAAAAGTAGTCAAAAATATCAATCCTTTCATTTATTTTTGAAAGAAACATCCTTATTGCAGATAAAAGTGATATAAAATACTGTAGCAGAGAAAGGCTGCCTCTTATGACACTGAAGATCCTGAGAAACTGCTTCAGGCTGCGGGAAAATGACTGTGATAAGTTGCAATACACCTCCAATGGACACGAGCCCTTTGGACAAATTCAACAAAGTCTATGCTACCTTGAAAAACTATAATCATGCATTATTGAATCAGCAAGGATAGTGTGTAATAGAGAGATCCTAAACCCATTCCCCCTACTGAATTATTCATTGAATTCAAATAACAGACAGAATAATTTTCTTAAAATATCTAAATCATTTTTCACAAAGGCTTAAAATGGTGTAAAACAACAGAGCTGTGTGTGTCCTGCATGGAGACCTAGAAAGTGACTGAAGTTGAGTGTGACAAACAATGTTGAAACATGAACATTGGTACCAGCGTATATGGGGATTACTACCCAACACCCTCTTTATTTTATCACAAAATTAGAGTCAATACGTTTATCTATAAACCTTCTTTTCCTTGTGAAATATTTCTCTCTCATATCTGCATGTTCAAGCAACAAGCAGCAGAGGGATGGTTGGCTAAATGTTGTACTAGGGTAAAAAATGATAATTAGTACAAATGGGATTATTAGGAGGCTGCATGTCATCAGTCTGACTGATCCATGATGTCAAACTAGCCAAGCAAATTCAATTAGGCCTGCAATTACTCCCTGGCGCTAGTGGAGACGTATGGGAGACTTTAAATATTGATGGAAACATAGATGCCACATTTGTTCTACTCATAAAGGTAGACGCATCTTCTCGAGGTAATCGCTAATGCTAAATATGGAGCTGGTCCATTCGTCATGCTGAGCTCCAGATCAGATCTGCACATACCCTGTTGGTTTGTTTACACTGGGAGGAGTTTGACATTTTCTCTTTCATATCGTTAGATAAAGTGAGACTTGTTCCCATTGTGGTCGTTGGTTCAAGAAATATTTCTATATATAATATATTCTATCTATGCCATAAAGTTGCAAGATTTTTGATTCTGAAGGGGACAAATATTTTTCAATTACCTCAATGTACACATTCATGAAAAAGAGTGTGCTCCTATAATTCAAATTTCAGCTGTATGTTTTATAACAAATATGTGCAGCCAGAAAAATATAGTTTGGACTCGTTAGAAACTGCATGGATCTATTGTGGCAGTTTAAAATAAATGAAAAATAAATAATTGTATTATATTAAGTTGTGCAGTATACAATTACTGAGATCGATAATATAGGTGTTGGCATACTCCATAGTATATAGTATTTTTATAAACCCATTATATATACGCAATGAATTAAACCAAATGTAAAATATGCGTAGAGATAGTCATCATTGAAAGGAATTTGCAAAGCCCATTGAAATGTTTAGATAATTGTTGAAAACAAATGCAGCCGTTGTATTAGCCTGATAATGTAATCAGGCTGCTATTCATAGCATTAACCGTCTGAATTAGTGTTAACTCTTATTGCAGTATCTTATGGTTTTACTGTATGAGGACAGAACAGTTTGGAGCCTCTGGGATCATATATTACATTTTCTTTACTGAACAAAAACATTTCAAATAAACCGTCAGCCACAAACGTACCTGCTGTTGAATTTCTCTGGATGCTTTTCCCTCATAACATGGAAACGATGTGCGATTGAGGCATCCTGAAAGAAAGAAAGACATATCATTTCAGCGACTGTAAATAATGTTGAGTTTGTTGCAGGGGATTTTCTTCTCCTCAAACTTAAAGGTCACCTATTATTCTGTTTTTCATCAATATATTATAGGTCTTAGATATATACAAAACATGTCTCTGAAGTGTTCGGCTCCAAATAACAAACAGATCACCCATAAACCCCTCTGTTTCAAAAGTGCTGATTCTCTGGCTTTTACTTTAGATGAAAATAAGGAGCCTCTCCCCACGCCCCTCTGAGAGAGATGTGGTTAAAAAGAACACAATGTTCAGGTGATAAGGGGGGGGGGGGTGCAAACACATCGTTATGACATCATAAAGTGGCCAAATCTGATCAGCTCATTTTCAGACAGGTTTTGATATAAATGGATCAGGACAAAAAGAGAGAGAATCTTTTTTCCTGAAACTTCCAGAATCTCTTTCCACGTGTTGATGTTTAAAATACATGAACAAGTGGATTTTGAATAATAGGTCCCCTCCTTGCTCAAAATATTATACATCCTTTTACACTTAACAAATATGATGTTTAATTATTTTGTGACTAACTACAGTATATCCTTCCGGCATTTAAATATGCTCACATGGAAAGCAACTAAACAGCCACAGCAGAAGTGTAACTGCCTTTATATCCTATGCAACTTCTTCCTCATTAACCAACTTTCTAGAGTTCTCAAACAGCGCGGTTACACCTTGCGTGTCCCTTGTGTATGTTTTTATATGATGGAAGAAGCTGTGTGCAGGAGGTGGCAGCGGGGTTGAACCTGGGATGGAGGGGTATTGACAGAAACTCTGATGAACAGCACGCTGTCTCCACACAGGCTAATTAATTAAACACACATTGGGAGTAATCACAGCTCCCAGCTAACCTACAGGATGCTGCCGACACCACGGCAACCAAGTTGTTTTCTCTCTCCCTTCCTCCACCTCCTCTCCTCTCTCTTCATGTCACTCTCGACCTTCCTCTCACCCTTTCCTGACTCCCCCCGCCCCCAGTCTCTCTCTCTCTGTGACCTGGGGCTCAGGGTGGAGCCTCATTGGAGCTCTTGGTGTGACTGTGAAACAGTTCATGTTACATATGTTAGTGTGGTGTGACTGACAGAGACGCTCCACCAGAGTATTAACACCATCTCAGTCTGGCAAGAGTGTTATCCAGTTTTTAAGTGAGAACTTACACAATAATAGTATGTTTAAAGTAAACCTATGATGTCGTTTTTTAGAAGACACTTTTTTTACTATGCATTTTTGTGTTTTTTAGGCATGTGTTTTGTGTCTGACAATTTCTGCTGCCTCAAAAGCCACATTTTGGAGGGAAATCTTACGTCGTAATTTACCCAGATTTAGTTGGTCTTAAATACGATCAGATAGATCACTTTGTGCAAAGGGTATATTTAGATGTCTACAGTATATACAATTGTGAAAAATGTAAAATCAAAATGCAACTTGATTATGAATGAAGTTATCAATATATCGAGTGATCAGATATTATTATTGTTATAAATCCCCATGTTATTACCAGATGTTATTTTGCCAAATGGACACGACAGATATGAAGTATTAGTTAAGCATTATAATGAGCAATTTTGTAATAATTTATATTTTTTGAAAGTTTACTAATTATGATTCTGCTTTGATTAAAGTAATTTTTTTCAATAATTTATAATTACATATTGAACTTCTGCCTGAGTAGTAACTTGTTATTATATAATCAGAAATACAATCCTTTGAACAAGGTGTTTAATGTAAATAAGTAGTGTACATGAAAACTGAATATCTTTGACATCAATAAAGTATGGAGGGAACTTTTGTCAACAGATTGTGAAGTCTCAAGTAATGAAGTACAAAGGCATGCAGACATTTTCTTTAATTTACACTTCTAAGCCAGTGTGAGAAGGAAAATGCTGGCAAGGCCTTCATGAACAACAGACCAAACTTTGAAAAACTTGTTTTTGAGGCTCTGAAAACATCTCAGGAAAGAGTGAGAGAAAGTTGCTGTAAACTTTCTGAATTGGTTCCTCTCTCGCACTCCCTCCCCTCCACTGAAGCAATCTGTTTTGACCCACTCCATTTTTGAGTGGCACTATTGAAACAGCACCTACAGGGAGGACCCCCTGCTAGCTCTCAGTACAGAAATGTAGGAGAAGCCAAAAAAGAACAAAATCAATGGAGCTTCTCTTGATGTCTCTTCAAGACGCTGTAAGCAGAAGACCAAAAGAATCCTTCAAGATCCCCGCAGACTCACCTCACGCTTCCAACGCCAGCCAGAAAGGTGAGATGATGGATATATCTGAGAGACTGTAACTTGATTTTCTTACAAACAGGACAATAGCTGCAAGAAAGGGAGCAAAAGCAAGAAGAGGTTGTCTCCCCTTTGGTTTGTGCTCTATTATCTGAGATCTGTACAAGTGGAGCTGTGGCTTTTGCAACAGTAAACAGCGATTTCAAGCAGCTACCAGTGGACGAAGCCCTTTGTCGTCCTACATCCATGCAGCTTTGTGTGCTTTCAGTGGAAACACTTTCAAACAAACCAGCAACACTGCCTTGTAGTTAAGAATCAACATCACAAAGAATATTTGAATACAAAATATTGTTTTTGTATATCTGTCTAAATTGTATGATTACAGTATATGTGTATCAAAACATTGTTGATATGCAAAAAAAAATATATATATATTAAATATACTTTAATAAGAAATACTTTTTTCTACATTTAAAAACAGAACTTTATTTTTTAATTCCCACCACTATTTCATAACAACTTATAGAGCAACTTTTAGTTTGTTCTACTGCACAGGTTAAATGTGTCACCCATTGTATTAGGTGTAGTTTAACAGATGTTTCAATAATGTTTAATATCAATAAATAATTATTTATTGATTTACAGTATTTATTTATTTTTACGAGAAGATGTTTCTACTTATTTAGTTTGAAACATTGTTGCTTTTGGATAAAAAGGCTCTATTTTTAGACCGTTTATGTTGCTTTACCATCTGCCATTGAAAATGTGCTCCTGAAAATCTGTCGATGAAGCTTATAGGACGTAATTGAGAGCTCAAGAATAGCTACTAACTGGAGATTGTGGTGAGTATTAAGTGATGTTTACAAGGTCGAAGAATTCATTTTAAACGTTTAAACCAACAGGGATGAAAGGCCTTATCTGCTAATCAAGATCATGCGATATGAACATCTACTAAATGGACATTGTGTTCAACTACTATATACATCTTAAGACACTGTTAAAAACTAAATGTGCGAGTTAATCCCACCAACACACGTCGGACACATTCACATGGCGCAGCCTTGACCCCCTCGCGGCAGTAGGACATCGTCAGCTCACTCACTCCCTCTCTCCCTCTAGCTGCCCTCAAATAATTACCAATGTAAAAATCTGGCACCCAAATTAATACAGGACATGTGTAATGTCCTCTCATAGCTCAAAGTTTAGTCCAATTATGAGTGGGCCCCAGCAGTTTGATGTGCCTTTCACCACGGGGGAGAGTAATGGCTTTGACAGGAGCGCCAGGGTCATTAAGGCGACTGACTGCATTATGGTAGGGGAGCGGGCGCAGTGATTAGTTCTGTCTCTCACCCCTGGCCCTGATTGAGATCATTACACTTCACGTCACTTCCACATCCTCCCAAAGCGATGGCCAACATTAATTCTCAATCCAACTGGGCCCTGGCAGTAGGGTACGTTGAAGGGATTTACAAAAAAAAAAAGATGGTTCTCCTTTTTTTGGAAGAATCACCTGAGAATGACCTGAGTTGGATAATAATTCAGTTTGTTTGTCAGCTGCTGACACTTATTATTTGAGAGGTATGAGACCAAATACAAAGTCATAAGGAACTTCTCTTTAAATGACTTCAAGGTGTTGACACTCTGCTGCTGATCTTTTGATTTCTACATTTGTATTACAGAAACAATCTACTCTTCATCTGCATAATCTCTGAGGTAATTATTAGCTTGACTTGTCGTGTAATCTTTATTATAATTTGAGTTGTTTTCATTCGAACGGAAAGCAAAAAAATGGATGCAAAAATGTGTCACAAAATATGATATCACACTCAAACCCATAGAGAGCTCAAAGTCTTTTTAATCCCCCGACAAACAACTTCATTTGTCATCATCACGCCTGCTGGGTGCTAATCCCTCTAACAGAGGAGAGACAATATGGCTTATAATCACTTTATGAACCAAGCACGCCAAAGCTGCTGTCTTTGGTTCAGCAACACAGAATCAACCGGTCCCACTAAAACACACACTTGCAGTTGTTTTTAGGGTTTTGTAGCTTAAGTTAACGGCGTGAATGACTTTTATAAGAAAGACATGTTTTGTCCATGAGTACTCATTGAATCAATGCATTTCTTTACTCATCTTCTCCTTATCCAAAACCTTGCAACCAGACTCTGATCCCGATCCATCCATTTGTAACATGAAACTAATAAAGCTGCTTAATATGGAAATACTCAAGTGAAGTACCTCAGGGTTTTTTCCTGAAAGTGTTGAATTTCATGTACTGCAAAGCAATGCAAACATCAATTTCTGCAAAGTATGTTTTTCTTACACTTGTGTTTGAAGCTGGATTTTTGCTAGAACATCCCCTATATTCTCTCACAATGTTCACAAGACCTGTCCCCTAATATCCTCTAACATCGTCATTAGAGGCACAGGCTGGACGTGTTATTCAACTAACATTTGTAAGGCCATGCATCACTTATGAGGCTGCCACAGTCTGCACACATCTCACAACACAGAGTGGCTCCCTCCTCTGCCACCTGCAAATGTCAATTACCATATTTCCCCCTGACATTTATCAGTAATGGCTAACATGAGCTACGTGAAATAAGCGTCATTATGTTGGAGATGGACAGAGGGGGTGCGTAACACCATGCAAAGACACAACAAGGCTTGTTTGTCAATCAGAGCTGGATGAGGCTTGAGCACATCCTAATAAAGGCCTAACCACATTGTAATCAAAAACAAATGGATGAATGATTATGCTGCTCCTCCAGAAAGTGTGTTTAAAAAAAAGAATCGACTCGACCCTTAATAATATAACAAAGCATCTTATTGTTAGTGCGTCAGTCCATCCTCCTTTATTTATTTCTGTATTTTGGTTAAGCTGTTTACTGGCACCTCTGCTTTTATGTGACTGAGACTCTTTGTTGCAATCAAACTTAAGTTGGGTGTGAAAGGTTTGAAAATGTGCCATGTGCTTCCTCCAACAGCAGAGCAAAGTGTGCCACCACTGTAACTCACAGCCAAGTACGTTTTTCTCTTGTGAGGTGTTGATTGGTCAATGTGGTTAGAGCATTTTGAGTCATCTTTATAAATCTGATACCGGCCTGCTTTAAAATATCCTTTACATCAACTACATAATGTTTAGGCAACTACAAATAATGTATAGTGTACGTGTATCTGTAAATATGATGCAGGAAACAAAACAATGCAGTGTCTGTCAAAATTAAATACTTTTTGTCTGATACTCAGGACTTTAAGATTTCCTTCATGAGTGCATTGGTTGTGGCCCTTGACTCAAAACATCATTAATTACATGTTGTCTATAAATCTATTAGACATCCCATCCATTCGCACTCTTTTTTCCAAATCTGTGATTTTTGTATGGTTAAGTGTCAAGACAAGCCAAACTAATGAACCATGTATCTAATAATTGTGAAATGGAATGGAGCTGTTTGATTTTTAAATGCGTCAACCCAAGACCTTTTAATATACATAGAACTTAAGATTCATGTTTACTTGTTCCTGTATGTCATGAATATTGTCCGACTCACCACTCCGATGGAGAAGTAGTTGTTGACGATACTGTAAGGCACCGGGTCCCCTCGCTCCTCTTTGTCCGTGGGCGTGACGTCAATCTTCCAGCGGTCCAGCATCAACTCTGAACTGTTCTCAATGTCCCGCATTATCTTCAGGAGGCTCTCGCCCTCATAGCCTCGGGAACACAAACCATAAGTGTGTTAAAGTGTGTTAAATGTGTTGAGAAACACATTGTGAAACTTTCCTGATGGTTTTAGGTGCAACTTACATTGTGAATATACATTTTTTATTTTTAATAATTAAGAAACAGAGTTCCTATACACTTTTAAAGCTCTATTATTAAAAAGTGATAGATTTTGTCATTAAAACTAAGACTGTTTCTGATGTATAATAGAATACAGGAAGGTGTTTAAATGTAATGAAAACAAATGTGGGCTTTAAAAATGTATCTCATGAACCAATGTGTTTTTCAGTCTAGGTTCCTCTTGTGAGTGGGAAACCCTTCATAGTGTACTTTATTCAATATTTTGTGATAATAATTACTTAATCAATCTTAGTCTATGTTGATAAATCAATTAATCATGTGAGTTCGTTACTACGTTTCAGTTTCCCAAATGTGAAAATATGCCGCTTGCTATTGTCTTAGAAGTTTAGTTTCAAATCGTACATTTCTTAAAACGTTGTTAGTGATAATTATAATAACAATTCAGGGTTAAATTATAGTAGTCTCTCACTATGAATGTAATAAGAGGAATTAAGGCAATGTATTTCAGTGCAATGTATCTATTTCCTGTCAGTACCTCCTCCCCATCGCAGACACCTCGCCAGGTCGTTGCCCGTGCCAAGAGGAAGTATACACACAGGGGGGTTCCTGTCCAGGTTGGCCTTATCTGGGGGAGCGGGACAAATATTACAACATGATGCGAAACGAGGCCAAACCAAGAAAACAAACTCACTGCAAAGACTTTCAAAGACAGAACCGAATCCATTTTGCGGCAGCATTTATAAAACTACAAGTCAATATGAGCGTTGTCCAGTCTATTCCAGGAGGCCATTATTACCTCTCTTTGTTTTGATTGATAAAAAATTGAGGCAATTTTTCAGAGCAAAAATAAGTCACACGTCTTCAGCACCCAATAAAGGAGGGATGGTGGGTTCTTCCTACACAAATGATGACTTGTATGTTGTTTTCAAACTCAGGTAATCATGCCATTTACCACCCTTGAATACGCAGGCTCGGACGTAATGAAAGTGTTTCTATACCAACCATAAAGTACGCTTTATAATTTCAGCCAGAACAGCCAGAGCTGCTGCTGCCTTAGAAAACTAATAAAAACACATTACATTTTGCTAAAAAAGGAAATTGAGTGTTTAAGTTCTTGTGTGTAGAGAGTAGGGTTGCAAAGGGGCGGAAAGTTTCCAGTAAATTTCCAGAAAGTTTCCATGGGAAGTTAAGCTGGGGAATTTTGGAAATATTCGATGCAAAATTAAACAAAAAAACATTTTTTTAATTATTTTTCTTTTAAATAGAACAGAACAAGTTTTGATTGTTTTATTGAACAATTATTTGTTTCATTGAAGAACGAAAACAGGAATGTTGAGTTAAATATTACTCATCCCCCCCAACCCCACTCATTAAAAAAATGAACAAAAATGCACCTCCCATCCAAAAATCCCCACCAAGTCCCATTCAAAATGTTAAATGAAAAGAGCCCTTCTCCCTCCAAGTCCCATTCAACATGCAAATCTTCCTTCAAGCAATCCTCTGCATTTTTGCTAAACCCTTTCAGTCAACAGGCTCTTCCTGGGCCTCACACTCTGAGTCTTCCTCTTCAGTGTCACTGTCCAGCCTTGTTGAGGATGGCTCTGTGTCAGGCTCAGAGAGCCTTAGGTTTGCCCGAATGCCAACCAGTTTTTCCACTCTCACATTTGTGAGCCTGTTGCGAACCTTTGTGTGGTCTCAATAGCCATGCAGCAAGCAGTGTGCTATGGCATGGATATTCAAGTGTACTTGAGTGGCATCTGTTTGTTTTAGTCAAGATTATGCTCAAATTGACTTTCCCCAACTATATTTAAGTTCCCTATGAAGAGCCAACCTTCAATTTTGAAAATTCCCATAAATTCCCATTTATTCCCGTGGAAAGTTTCCATCTTTGAAAATTCCCGGAATTTTGCAGCCCTAGTAGAGAAGAGTTTGTAATCTGTGTGATATAATTGATGGTAGCAGATTATTGATATTGTTGTGATGACATAAAGTATTATAAAATATATCATGTATTCTGTACCTATAAAGTCGAGGATCCATCCCACAGTGCCGTCTCCTCCGCAGGCCAGCACTCTGAAATCAGGAACATCTCTGAAGAAGTTCAGCCTGCAAACAAACACAGTGCGATTGTGCATTACGTTTGTTCTCCACTTTGGATTTTCCACTGTTATTGTATATTTAAAAATCTTATTGGAGAACTTATCTAGCCAGAAATGTTTTGAGGTGTATTCTTATACATGTTGTACTTCCGAAAATTAACCCCAAAATATATTGTATTAAAACTGATATAAGGTTGAAGTGCTTTACCATTCCGTTTTGTTCACATTGACTTTACTTCCTCCTTTTTCTGTTTGTAAAAACTAATAATAAAACAAATTATTGTAGGAAATAACTCTATATAAAAGCATTGTTTTTACACCAAATAGGAGAATTATGTTATATGAACAACTACATTATCAAGTGGTTTCTTAAAAGTGTGTTGATTATGTTGCCTCTTGAACAAACTTGTATTACAGACTTGTAATTAGACTTTGAGGATGGAAAATGGAAAATGGCAGTCCTGATTCCGGTGCAAAGTGAAAAAAGTGATGCTCTAAAAAAGGCACTAAACGTCACTTCCCTGCATGACATTATTCTGTTTTTTACTTGGCATTCCTTTTCAAGAAATAAACAGAATATGAGATTGCGGAGTCCTTCATTTTGATCTGCTCTAAAAAAAAAAGATACATTTGTTCAGGTGTTGAAGGCTAATGACAAAGATCAGCTTTTCTCTCATCACTGAAAAAATAAAATGTTAAGTGTTAAGAGATCTGTGTGCAGATCAGGAGCATATATTTGAGCCTACTGCCACTGCTTCACTGCAAACCCCCTCTAATTCCACAAAATAACACATGTCGCATTGACAATTATTCATTCGGTGAGTTAGCCTGCCTGTTCGAGGGCTAATTGGATCATGACAGGCAATGTTCAGTCCAACTTCTTCCGTTCCTTCACAATAACAAAGCCCTAACTGAATGAGCCAGCCTCTGAGCCTCGTATGGCGGGTAAATGATTCGCTCAATTACTCTCCAACTGGGACCACAAACCACATTAGACGCAAAACAGAAGGCCGTGAACATGAAAGGCAACTTTGGGGATATTTAAATACCAAGAAACAAACACTTAATTTGCTATAATTGCATTAGTGAGGCAGCTAATTGACAGCAGTGCGTGCGGCTGCTTCGGCCTGCAGTGTCCAACGGTGACCGGTCACCTCTCTAATGTGTGCGGCGGTGCGTACACTTGACTAAATGTTAACAAGGTTACAGCGGGGTAAGGTCATCTGGAATGTTGTCAGCTCTGAGGAGAAGCTCTGGGATTGATCTGCAGACAGCAGAAGGGATGCAGGTGATGTTTCAGGGAACGCACAGGGACACCAAGAGGAGAGAGACAAAACAGTGAACACAAGGTCGGCCACAAGAACTTGCAGCTTCGTTGGCACAATCTGTGGCATGGGATTTGTGCACCCTGCCTGTATCGCTGTGAATTTATTTTGTATGAGCCGTTCTGAGATCTAATCAAAGCCAAACAACGTGGCGGCACGGCGGAGAGACATTCCTGTATGTTAGGTGCCACCAAAGTGTTGAAGGAGCCTTTTGCATGTAAATGATCCATTCATTTTCCTAATCACAAATGTGAACCATAGGAAACCTGACGCTGGCCGCAGCTCCAGCCTGCGGAGAGCTCCTCGTCTGTATGCATGATCACATGTGGTATGGTGAGAGTTTCACCCCTCTCTATCCGTCACTCAGCTGTGTCACCGGCTCTCCCTTCACATACGGCTTATGCATATGGAGCCGCCGCTCGTCTGAGGCTACAGCATGATGCTGTCGTCTCCAGGTTTTGTTATGTGTGAACTCACCTCATTTGTGTCGGTGCTGTGTGAGGGAAGCGAGTAAAAAGGTGTAATGATAAAGGTTCTCTCTTGCATGAGATTGTGGTTATTAAATGTGAGCAACAACAGCCTGTTTGTAAACAGAAGTTCATTAGCAGATACTGTATGATATGATGTCTTTCCTTTTTTCTATTTCGATGTTGACTATTTCACGTCATAATAAAGCATTTAGAAATGCAACTTTATGGTAGCAGGATTGTATTTTCCTTTGAAATATTCATATTTTAAGGTTATGTTTTTAATTTAAACCATATTTCTTGCAGTGCATTGCTTTTCTTTTGCGTCTTTTGAAATAAAACAAACTAAATGGGTTTTTTACTTTACTCAAGAATTGAGGATGTTATGCTTCCATATCATTCGACTCCAGTACGATTAACAGTCACTTTTATCACTCTTGAATAGGCAGTATTTAAGGGGTACATTTACAACGCTACATTCATCTAGTAGAACTTCTACTTTTAGTTAAAGTGGACCTATCATGCTATATTTGAAAAAAATATAGTCGGGCCATACCTATACAAAATGTCTGGTATTTTGAAAAAAAAACTTCACAAACAGTTCACCCATTGTAGCCATGCCTCATACTGCTCAAACCCCTCTTTTGCAGCCCTGTTAGAGAAACGCGGATCTTGGGTCCTTAGCTTGAAAAAAAAGAAAGAAGAGGAGGCGGAGCTAATGCCTGATCAGAATTCTACCGGAGATAAAGTTACATTTGGCTGTGATAAAACGCCATCCTGTTTAAACCACGTCAAGGATTATTTCTGAAACAATATGGAGCTCAAATGCTTTTTCTCTTGCAGGTTTATCACAAGGCAAGTTATTTTTTTATTTCCTGCTTTTTAAACACATGTGCTCTACAGTACAGGTTAGCTCTGAGTGTTAGCGAGGCTTATAATGTAAACAAAGACGAGATTACGTCCAAAACACGTCAGGCATTGTTTCTGATAGCAACTTTCTGTGGGTCCGCCGACGTCACAGCGGATGGAAACGTCACAGCGGATGGAAAAGTCACAGCGGATGGAAATCTGTATCCGCTCGTTGTACACCCGTTTTTAAAAGATTTGGGTACGGAGGAAAAGAGAGAGGGTTTTATTTTCTGACGCTGCGTGAGTTCCCCGACGCACACATATTTATGTATAAAAGACATCACAAAGTGCATTTTGCATGATAGGTCCCCTTTAAGTTACCTTCTTCCGTGGTTTAATAAACAGGGGGAATTTGAACAGCAAGCAAAAACAGTTTAATGTATATATGTGCATTTAACTGTTGTTTTAAGACAGGCTTGAAAAATAAATTAATAATATAATTTAGTGATCTACCCTTGTTTGAACATACTGTACAACTTACCCTGGCATGGGTCCATTCTTGGCCAGGTTGTACACTTGTCTCGGGTTCAGAAGATACTGGAACTTTCTGTATATCCTAAAAGAGTGAATATGCCGAGAGATTAGAAAACATCGAGATGACAGAGACACAATGCAATCATTTGTTTCAAACATCCCAGATAACAACTAAAAAATGTGGATTAGGTGTACAATTGTGTCCTGTAAATGCCGACGCAGGCCGGCGTCCAATCAGATCGTAATAAGGCAGTGGACTGGGCAGCAGGGTGGGACATACCCAAAGTCCCCTTGAGGAGAAATCATTAGAAAGACTAATTCATTTTAATTTCAATTTCATTATATCAACTGGCTGAAGTCATATTTTGATCTCATAATTTAAACAAATGAGGGCCGGCGTAATAAGTAGTGAGTGAATATGTTTCAGTAATAATCCAATTAGCCTTGGGTTAAAGAAGGGGGACCAGTCAGGGAGGTGACAGTGAGGAGGGCGTGGAGAGCTGACGGTGAAGGCGGCCAGCGCTTTAGGTTAGTGGTATTGTGTTTTTATTTGACTAAGTAAGCCTAGAGCACTTGGCAGCCAGAGGCCATGCAGCCTCCCTCTGCGGCTGAGGAGCGGGGCTTCAGAGGCCTCTTGTAGCATGTTGAGACAGATTGTGTACTTACCTCTCTCCCTGCTTCCCTCCGCTTTTTGGATTGACAAACACTAGCAGAGGATGAGTGCCCTCTATTGTTGTGATCTGAAAGGGAGATGTCAAAACAAACCGTTGGTGTTTGGAGACTGCAGGATGCTTCACAGGAATTCACTTTCAAGCCATATCCCTCAGACGTTTTATCGAGTATATACGGCACATCCAAGCAATGCCAGTCATCTGTTTTATTTCATAGTTTTCCAGTTTCATTCCAGAGGAGCACAAGTGGTACCTGGATACGGCAAAGTCAGGCCGCTAACCGATTCTTCGTCTGAGTCCAAATGAAATCGTGTGTTAATTATAATATCCAATTATAAAAGGAGAACAATGATGAAGCCCCAAAAAATGTATTTCTAAGGCAAAATAAATCACATAAATGTTCCTTTTATGTTGAGTTTTGGTCAGATGATGTTAAGGATCCCATGAAAAGACTCAAACAATGTATTAGTCCACATGTTAATAATTTCCTACAGTGTCTGTGGCACACAGCCCGAAGCCCTATCCTTCTAGAAGTCACATATCAGTAAAACAAGTTCACAAATATCAGGTTTCTTCTTTTAAAAGGCTCAGAAATGTCCTTAAACAGCAGAGCACTGTCACTTTTAGGAATTTAAGCTCAACTAGAGTTAAAATGTGTTTTTGGACGACAACAAAAAAGCTCTATGCCATGCAGTATAGGTAAAAGATTGTTCAGACTTTGGATACACAGACACAACTTTTCTTACTGCCGTTTGTTGATATTGCACATTTTCTGCAAATAATTTCTTAGAGGTTATGAAGGCAGGTAATATGAGATGCCAGGTATCAGGTTTAAGCAGACAGCCATGGATATACAGTACAGTAAAACAACCCATCTTTCTCTCAGCTAATCAATACTCTCAACCTAATAAATCATGATTCACAATTCAGTCTTAGTAGTTATCTGTCACTGCTTCCTAATTGGCAGGGCAGTTTGTCTGGTGTCACGTGGGGGGGGGGGGGGGGGGTTCTCTGAGCGGTAGTGAGACTGTGGACAGACAGAGCCTGCGGTGCCGGAGGCCAAACTCACAAATCGCCACATAAACAAGCTCTAATCCAGCGGCCCTGTTTGGATCGCTCCTCGTGCAGTTAGTCTGCGACAACTCGCCCCGTGCTCTCCCTGACACAGATTAAGCGCTTAACTCCCCCTGTCTGCTATCCCAGCAGGCCGAGGGTGAATTAATGAGCTCCCTGTCCAGTCCAGAGTGATCCATTACTTCCTGTAATTATAAATAATAATCTTGATTATTATGCTGGTTAGCCAGAGAGAGGCATAGATGGATGTGCCTGGGATATGATTCATCATATTTCTCTCCTAGCCACACGTAGACGAGCAGTCGCCACGGACAGCGGCAGGTTTCCATCGCCTGCCCGCTGCTGACAGATAATAGAGAGGACCGGAGCGGACTGAGCTCTGCTGTTTAATACGGAGTCCCAGCAGCGCCTGCAGAGCATCCCATCATAGGTCCCAAGACCAACTGCAGAGGTTATTGTTAAAACAATATGGGTCTGTCTATTTTCAAATAAATGTCTTTCTTCAAATAATTGTTCAGACTGATGGGCTATAACTGGTGCAGCATGCAGCAGCAACTTCACAATAAATCCACCCAGATATATCAGATCAATCAGATATTGGTAAAGGTTCCACAGTTTAGTCTTGGGACAAACCGTGGAACAGGCTTTTACTGTTTTAGGAACAAATTCTTCCTTATTACACCAGCTGTGATATGTTTGACTCAAGGACCTTCTTTGCACCGGTTAAGCTCCCCGTTGCTCTATTTTAAGTTAAATTATTTACTTTTTATGTCTAACTACTGAAGTTGTGACTAATTTTACTACTTCTGCTTCCGATATAAATGACTAAATAAGGGATCAAAAGGCATAGTCTTGTGATGATCTGAAAGAAATACATCCAGGCTGTAGAATAACTCTGGAAATAAATTGATATATTACATCTTAAAGTTAGAAAAATTGTAAAAGTATGTAACTAATTTAAAATCGGCAAAATATTTTCCCACCACAGTGAAACCTTATTTTTGCTGAAATCAATATGTAAAAGGAGATTTAGATCGATATAGGATAGATACAATTAAAGTCATCTATGTGTATTGCAGTATGGTGCAGATAAATTGTGTCAATGTGAAAACACTACACAGAGCGGAGGGCAGAAAGCTCTCACCTGCAGTCCTTGGCCGTCCACAGTGACGGAGTTGGCTCTCTGCATCTTCCCCCGGCTCGACAGACTGCACCGGGAGTCCTTCCTCAGCGTCGACTGCCTTTCCTGAGGTCAAAGGTCAAACAGAGAGGATCCAAAAAGATGTTTCCAATGTTATGATGTCATAAAAAATTTAATATATTATGTATCCTATCTCCAACTGAAATTAATTCATGGCAAAATAAATAAGACTTTCCAACAGCATTTAGACCATCGTTTTGAAATGTAAATACAAAACAAGGTCAAAAGGTCATTTTTATTAGTTTAGTTCATTATCAGATGTTGATATTCAGAGATTGTTTCTCTCTTTCTATACAACTAGCATAAATTCAATTAATCTTATAGAATCCGATAAATTACAAAGATGATTTGTTCAAGCCTTTAAAGAAGAGTTTGGCTGTTGCCCTGATTGGAGCTGCAATTTTATCTGTTTTAAAAATAATTTTAACTTTTTTATTTTACAGCTGGCAACTATTAATAGCAGTCAAAATGACCACACAAATTGAATAATCTATGTTTTAGAGATATTTAATGAGAAATGTAGGTTACAATATTTTCCCCTGAAATGGATTTGAAACATCTTGGAAATAATCTCGTAAAATCCGTCTTTCAGAGCTCAGTGGGAGAACCCAGGTTGATGATTGCATCCTCAGAAAACAACAGTGTCAAACAAGGTTATCCTCTCTCTGCCACGGGACCGCTGACCAGCGAGCAGAGAAGTCTTACCAGGACGACGGGGCAGATTGAATTCGGGGGCAGGATGTGATCCTTCAGGGGTCCGCAGTCACACTCAGGTTTCACATGGGAGGCACACTTGTTATGGAGCTGGAGGAGGTGGCAGTTGTTATTAACAGCAAACGTGTGTCAATAACAAAACATGTGTACATTTTCAGATATATGCTCAGGATTTATTTGCATTACTTGTGTCAATGCTTCAGTTTCTATTTTTCTATTAACTTGCAACAAAGTGTTTTCTGGGTGTAAATTGGTGGAATGACTTGTGAGGTATCAGAGGTGCTAAAACAAAACCCTAAAAAACAAGAAGCAGTGGGAATATAATGAGGAGGTGGCTGCCTCTCCTCAGGTGGTGGCTTACCGTGATTTGACACCACACACAGTGGAGCCCAGTCAGGCCCTGGTAACACTTAACGGTTTTGTGACACTTGTCACACTTGGTGGGGCAGTTCCCTTCCACCCAGAAATGATGCATTACCTGCGGAAAGAGGGAGAGACAGAAGGAGTGAGAAAAGAAACATGGTGCAGAAAAACAAGATGTTGTATACAAGTGACAACAATTAAAGAAAGCAAGAAGGAAAGAAAACAAGGAAGAAGGAAAGAGAAAAAACCCAGCAGAGAATCAGAAAGGCCAAACAAATGATGCCATCTGTGTCTTTAAACTATGCTTGTCCTGGTAATTAGAAATGCTAAGTAGCAGATCGAGTTTTAATTCCCATTAGAAGAAAAGAAGCCCTCATCCAAAGCCCTGTGGAGCATCGCTGATCCAAGCGTGCCGATTGGTAAACACTCCAATTGGACGCACCTCTGTGTTTTTCTTGGACTTGACATAGGTTTTGATGCAAGACGGAGGAGCGCGAGCCACACAGCGCTCATGCACTGTGTATTTGCAGACTGGGGAAGAAAGGAGAACAATGAAATGCAATGTAAGACTTTCAACTAGGAAAAGACACAAAACAGAGGGGAAAACACATTTTCATACAGTTTGAAATGATATACACCAAGGTTTGAGTGATGTGTTTCTTTAGCCACTATAAACACAAGCAGGCTTTATTCACACGACTGTCTGAATGTGCCCTAATTGTCTTTTTCCCCTTTTCTGCTCATAGTGTTGGAGAAAGCACTAGAAACAAGTTTTAAATCATCATGTGACACTAAAGTTCTTGGTAAACCTCATTTTAATTACTTCTGTTTTCAAAGGGCCAAGTGAAAAATCAGATGGCAATTTTTGAAGTAAATTTGATCACAGTGAAACATCCATATTAAGTGCACTGCAACAGACAACACTGGACAGACAGTAAGGGCCAAGTGTAATGTATTTCTCTCTGTCCGTGCCAATCAATGTATCTGTCGAACCCTTAATGGTAAGTGAATTACTCACAAGAGCAGCAGAGTCCCTGCTTCCCCAGTCCAATTAGCATGTTGAGACACAGGTTACAGTAAGCCGGCTTGTTGAAGTGCTTCAGCCTCCACACGTGTTGCCCGTCATCTTTAACATTCTGGAGCAGAATCACAAATGATTGATTCAATAATTAAGGGATTCAATTTATCATTTCACATTCTAGTGGAACAATCATTCCCTAGTTATTTCAATGATTTAATTGTCATTAAGATTTGATCACTAGCTGTAGTTAGCTTTCTATTTTTATTTAATCCTTTCAGTAAAGACTCAGGACAAGTTTTGCTGTCTTCCCTTTGCAGTATTATTCATTCATAAAAAATGACAATTGGTAGGGAAGACTGCTGAAGCCAGTCAAATGGTTCCATCTAGTGGAAGAAATATGAACCGCTCTCAGTTTGAGGATCACGCTGCAGCAGTGAATAAGGAAGTTCTCAGGAAACCACTGGGTTTATTTCATCTGTTACTAAATCATTTTTGAGTTTTACAATATGAATTAATGATGATGATGAATGTGTTTGTGTTGTCATTTACTGCGCCTGACCTCTTTTAGATGATGCTTGAAGTAGCATGGGCATAAAGAAAAAAAAACATTTCAGATGCGTATTTTTTATTTTTTGTAAATGATAGTAGAAAAAACGTTGAGTATAACAAGAGCTGAGGAGAGACTGATAGAAACGGAGCAATATACACTTCTAGGATGCAAACAAATACTGTATCAGCTTAACTTCTCCAGGTCGTTGTTGACCCACAAACAGTGTAAGGAAACTCTTAAGTATCAGTTCTTAAATAACACCTTGAGTCAAGTCATTATAAGTTTGTATGTACAGAAATTAAAATATCAACTAACCATTTAAGGTGATTGGTCATTTGTCAGGGTTATGTCTCAACATCTTTTGCTTGGATTGCCAACAATGTGGTTAACAGACTCCGGTCACTGGCAGAATGAGTTGTGATAACTTTGGTGAACCCATGAATCAGGCCCACCATGAGGTCAAATGTGTAAAATACCAACAAACAAAAAACCGACATTTCATATCAGCCTTTGCTGGGAAACCGCTAGACTTGAGGACCATGTTCGCCTGCTGATGTTAGCATTGAGCACAAATCACAGATGTGTCTAAATACAACTCTTCATCATGACTGTAGACTGTTAGTTTAATAAATGAACATTTTGATATTGTTAGGTTATTGTAAAATGGATACAACAGATAAAAACTGCTGTACATGTTTTGACTTTGTAAAATGAAACTATTTGAATAGCAGGTTCACAATACATGAGATTTCAACTGATGAAGAAAGAGCTGTGTCAAAACTGGAAGCAAATATTTCAAGGTGATCCAATTTTTATCCAAAAGGCCCTTTCTAAGCCTTTTTTCTTGTAGCCTATCTCTCTGTGGCCTCACCGTCTCCAGGCCCAGCAGAACCAGCAGTGGGATAGTGGTCATGCCTCCTTGGATCCACTCCTCCAGTGACACCGTGCCATCGCGATCATAGTCTATCTCCGACATCATATCCTGCAGGATCTACAGTAAACACAAAGACAGAATTAAAGGTCCCCTAATATACTGTTTTTCATACATATATTATAGGTCTCAGATATATACAAAACACGTCTCTGAAGTGTTTGGCTCCAAATACCAAACAGATCATTGCAGTATCCCATAATCCCCTCTGTTTCAGGCCTGTTTCCAAAGTGTTGATTCTCTGTCTGTTACTTTAGAAGATGAAAAATAAGGAGCCCCTCCCCACGCCCCTCTGAGAGAGATTTGGTTAAAAAGAACACAATGGTGCTCTAGGAGGAGATTCAGGTGATAAGGGGGGGGGGGGGGGGGGGGGGCTAATGGTTACACAAGCCAAAATCGTTATGACATCATAAAGTGGCCAAAATCTGATCAGCTCATTTTCAGACAGGTTTTTATAAAAATGGATCAGGACAAAAAGTGAGCAAAGCTTTGTTCCTGAAACTTTCAGAATCTCTTTACACAGACAGGACACATGTTGATGTAGAAGAGACAGGCAAAAGTGAATTTTGCATAATAGGTGACCTTTAAAAAAACAAATATTTTTCACAGTTTCACGTTGTATATTGGAGTAATCTGGTCTCAAATAACATGGCGATGAAATAAACTCTGTGGAAACTACATTTAATGAGCATATCAATACTATACCCACTTGTCATTTTCATTTTAACGGCTCTTAAATAAAGTTCAGTAACATCCTTTGTGTTAAAGTCCTGCCACATTGTTGTGAAAGAAACATGTCTAAGATTGTTGAGAAGGCGTGTGGTTACAAGCCAAGAGGTTTGCCAGACAGGATATTATATTCAAATTCCCATCATTACTGATTTCTGTTAACTGGGTGAAATATGTCTCTTACTGGTTTCAGCTCAGTCACGTCCCACTCCAGGTACTCGGCTACATGCATCATCTGGGAGATAATGTGCTCCAGCTCCTGCGGCGAGACCACAGACAGTCAATTACAGGCACAAAAATACTGTATTTACCTTTCTGTATATTGCAGCCTTACACGTTGATGTCCTTTAATGTCTTTGGCGTGAATAGACTGATGAACAGTGTGTAATAGTAGGTTAGGAACGTCATTCTCACAAAACAGAAGAGTTGTTCAGAGAAAAACAAAGGCAGCGTGGGAAGAGCTCCGAGTCTGACGGTTTAATTACAATGGTTACTTTTTAAGGGGGGGGGTGGGTTTGATATTGGGATAATAAATCACCATGATGCACTTGGACCTCTTTAAGATGTTAAAAAACAAAATGGTATTATTATTATTATGTGTATTATCTTTAACATCTGGGTCACACACAATGAATATTTCTGAGCGCTCTCTGTCCTCTTTTCTCTACACTCCCTATACCAGCTTATAATGGGATACTAATAATAGAGTACATTACAAAACCTCTCCCCACCCTTTCTCCCTCCTAGTTAACCCACCAATCCATTCTATGCACTTTCTATACTTGTACACAAAAGCACTGGTGCGCTTTCATTCACAACTTTTCTCTTGGATATTTGTTTTTATGTCATATTCCTAAACATGTGTTGAAGTATAAAATGTAGAGAATGGTAGCAAACGGTTTGTGCGTTTGTAATAGTATTATTTACCCCTCAAGTACTAACAAGTACATAGAGTAGAAAGACAACTTAAGCATCTAATATACAAGTACTCATTATGCAAAATGTCCACATTATGAACTCTATATACTGGAGTTATTTGAAATTTAATGAATGAGCAGCATTTTAATGTTGTCATGGTTAATGGTTTATAAACAGTATGAGTAATTGAATCAATAATAGAGTATACAATACTAATTTAATGTTATCTTGATATAAATGCAGTGAAGTGAAAAGTACCATATTTTTCACTTATTTGTAGCTAAGCAGAAATAAAGTGGCTTCAAATTGACACACTTAAGTAAAGTACCTCAACATTGTGCCGACATACAGCACTTAAGTAAATGATTGCCCATTATTATTATTATTATTATCACCAAAAGTGCTCATGTATTTTTTGTTTGTATATTTTTATGCATCTTGTTTATCAGTTTCAAATCATTAACATTCAACAATTATAATGTTCTTAAGGAACGCAAACCCTTGAACACAAAATGACTCTTAAAAGGTGGGGTAGGTACGTTTGAGAAACCGGCTCGAGATACACTTTTTGTTATATTCCATGGAATGCTCTTAACATCCCGATAGCAATGAATATCTGAAGTGCTTTGACAAAAAATCCATTAAAAAAAATGTCATCTGTGGAAGCCGTAGTAAAAGCACGACCAATCATTTTAGCCGGCCCGGCTAAAATAACTATAGGTTACTTACGTAACCCCAGTTCTCAGATTAACATGAGGTGAGATGTCTCACTATGGGATGCGCCTCAATGCGTATGCAAACAAAAGCATCAATCTCATTACGCCAATCCTGATTGGCTGGTGATCTTGACGTCTACGTCAGGGAATCCACCCACCCTTTAAGTAGCTTGCGCTACGTCGCAGCGTCATTCAAAATAAGCACCTCTTCTCGCTTTGCCTTAGCAAGAAGGGCCGTCTGGTGAGACATCTCACTTCATGTTACTCTGAGAACTGGGGTTACGTAAGTAACCTATAGTTCTCATTCATAACACTCCGTTCGATGTCTCACTATGGGATATTGAAACTCCCGTATTGCTAGACAGGCTTATCTCGAAAATCACCAAAACAACTAGAACTTAACAGGCAGAACTCTGTCTCAACACGGGGCCCAGCACTGCACGGGCCACACTTGGAGCAGAGACATCTAGCCTGTAAAAGCGGACAAAAGTGAGCGGTGAGGACCAGCTCGCTGCTGCACAAATGTCTTGGATGGAAACACCCTTGAACAAAGCCCAGGATGTAGCCAGTCCACGAGTAGAATGAGCACGCAGGCCCGTTGGTGCCTGCAAACCCTGACTCGTATAAGCCAGAGCAATCACTTCCACAATCCAGTGGGAGAGCCGTTGCCTGGTAACGGGCTTGCCCTTATGAGGGTTAGCCCAGGATACAAAGAGTTGGTCATTGCATCGAAACTCTCTTGACCTGTCCATATAGGTGCGTAAAGCACGGACTGGGCACAGCAAATTCAGCCGCTGTTCCTCAGAGGAACACAGTGGCGGAGGAAATGCCTCAATGTTAATGGGGGTACATGAGCCAACCACCTTAGGTACAAAGGCAGGGTTGGGCTTCAGCAACACTCTCGTTTGCCCCGGGGCAAACTGAGTGCATGAAGGATGTACAGAGAGCGCATGAATGTCACTGACTCGCTTGGCAGATGCCAGAGCCAGTAACAACACTGTCTTCAGTGACAGGTGTTTCATGTCAGCTTCTTCCAGGGGTTCAAATGGAGGTCGAGTGAGCCCATCTAAAACCACTGCCAAGTCCCATAAGGGCACCAGTGACCTGGAAACAGGGAGGAGCCTGCGAGCCCCTTTCATAAAACGGCAGACCAAGGGATGTTGGCTAGCCGTCTTTCCCTCAAAGCCCACATGGCATGCAGCAATAGCAGCCAGGTACACTTTGATCGTAGAGAAAGCTCTGTGTTTATCAAATCAGGTCCTGTAGAAATGATAGAATCACCCCGACAGGACATTGAAAAGAGATGTGTCCTTTTTGAAGGCACCACTCCTCAAACACCCTCCACTTACAGTCATAGAGGGACCTGGTGGAGGAAGCTCTTGCACTCTGAATAGTGTTTATCACCTTCTGAGGGAGTCCCACTGTATTCAGGTTATACCACTCACGGGCCAGGCCCATAGTGCCAAGCGCTCTGGGTGTGGGTGAAAAATCGTCCCCCCCGCCTGAGACAGTATGTCCCTGCGTAGCGGGAGCTGCCACGGCTGCCCGCACAGCAGCTGATATATCTCCGCCAGCCAGTACATTGCAGGCCAGTGCGGAGCTATTAGGATCAGTGTGTGGCATTGTTCTCTCACTCTGGCCAGAGTTGGGGGTATCAGAGCCAGGGGTGGGAACGCGTACAGAAGGACCGGAGGCCAAGCGTGCGGGAGCGCGTCCACGCCTAACGGTGCGTTTAAATCGCGCATTGAAAAGAACAGCTGACATTGAGCGTTTTCTTTTGATGCGAACAGATCCACCGCGGCCCGGCCGTAACGCACCCACAGCTAACTCACAATCATTGGATGTAGAGTCCAGTCTGCATATAGTGGTGCACCTCTGGACAGCAGATCTGCCCCGAGGTTCATCACTCCTGGTACGTGCGTCGCTCTCAGAGAGAGGAGACGTCCGCAGCTCCATAAGATCAGTTTGCGTGCCAGCATGTGTAACTGGAGAGAACGCAAACCCCCTTGGCGGTTTATATACGATATTGTGGTCGTGTTGTCTGTCCTCACGAGGACATGATGTCCTCTGAGAAAAGGCAGAAAGCGTTTCAGGGTGAGGAACACCGCTAAAAGCTCCAGATAATTTATGTGTGACCGTTGGAGGTCCAGAGACCCCTCACAGGTCGACCTTCGTATATACCCCCCCAGCCCGTCAGACATGCGTCTGTGGTGACCACCTTCCGCAATAGGACAGCACCCATAGGCAAGCCCCGTACTAGAAAAGTCGGGTGCAGCCAGTGGCGCAGTGCCATTACGCATTTCATAGTGACCATCACTCTCCGCGCGCCATGACGCACGGGGTCCAGTCTGAGGGCAGCTACCCAGCGCTGATACTCCCTCATGTGTAAGCGTCCCAGTCGTACCACCAGGATGGCTGACGCCATGAGCCCCAGTAACCGCAGACATGATCTGAAGAGAACATATTTGCGTGCATGGCTGGAAATGAGCGAGGCAAGCCCTGAAGGCTTTCACACTCTCTGCTGACAGGCGGGCTGTAAAGGGCACCGAATTCAGGCGTAGGCCCAGGAAGAGTACAGTCTGGGCTGGGGACAACATGCTCTTTTCTGTTTATTACGAAACCCAGGTCGAGCAGTTGTTTTACGAGGACATTCGTCTGCGTAATAGCCTCTTGCTCCGACTGTGCGAGCCAATCGTCCAGATAAGTTGCCAGGCGAATACCCTGTTGTCTTAACGGGGCTATCGCGGCTTCCGTACACCGTACAAACACTCGTGGGCTGAGAGACAGACCGAAGGGAAGTACTCTGTACTCGTAACAGACACCCTGAAAGGCGAACCTCAGATATTTCCTGTGTGGGTAATATACTGGGATGTGGAAATACGCATCTTTCAGGTCGACTGATGTGAACCAGTCGTTTTGGCGCACGAGACGCAACAGAGATGTGTGAGTGAGCATTCTGAATTTGTATCTTTTGAGATATTTGTTCAGAGCCCTCAAATCTAATATAGGCCGAATCCCGTTCCCTCCCCGTTTGGGAACGAGGAAATACTTGGAATAAAAGCCGCTCTGACTCTGTTCGGCGGGTATTATAGATATAGCCTTCTTGTCTAGTAGCGAGAGGATCTCTTGCTCTAGAATATGGGCCGACTCTCCCCGGGCTTGCGAATGCAGAATTCCCGAAAAGTGAGGGCGGGGGTGACAGCGAATTGGAGTCTGTAACCCCGTGTTATTGTCTTGAAAACCCAAGCAGAATCTGTGAGCATCCTCCACTTTTCGCTTCTCAAAGCGAGTGGAGATGTCACATCTCTGTCGTCTGCCCTCTGTGTCTTTATTTGTTGTGTTATGGGGCCCTCTAGTGTCTGAACACGATGGTACCCCAGGTTGACAACCCCGGTCGACACTGCCCATGCGCGTGGCGGTGATGCCTTCACAGCCCCGTCCATCGTCCGCCTTCTGAGAGAGGTAGCAGCCACTCTTAGAAGGGGGGTAGACGTCAGACTGTTTATTGTTTTTATTGTCTTTCTTTTCATTTTTATTGACTGCGCCCTTGGCTTTAAGCCTGGAAACGACAGTGGAAAATGATTTATTAAAAGACAATAGTGATGACATGTGTTTGTGTGACTTAAACGAGCAGCGGAGCTTGCTGTCGTTGATGTTAAGTCCATTTCCCTCATGGCGCGAACTTGAGGATGATGTTCTGACATCACTCGAGGCGGCGGGAAGATGGGGGCATGGTTGCACCCCGGAAACACATGAGCATCTAACACTGGAACGTGTTCTGGAGCTGGAGAACAGGGAACTTCCAGCTCCTTTATCGAGGAGCGGAGAGGAGGCTGTCAGGCCGCTCCCTCTTCTTCTTCCTCGTCTGGTGGCTGAAAGTCTGGGCCGACTGTGCCTGAGCGGCTGCTGCCGGAACCGGAGACTTTCTTGGCCAGCTCGCCCTCGCCTCGTGTCTGGGCTGGAGACCCGGGGCGGGCTGTGGCCTCTGCTGTTTCGGGATCTTGAAACGGGCAGGACGTGAGGCAGCCTGAGCGAAGGACTGCCACGGGGCCGTTGAAGGCGGCGGCTGGACCCTTCGGGGAAGACAAAGCTGGAGAGCCTCATCCTCCTTCTTTTTGGATTCACACCGCTGCTGCATCGAAGCTAGAGCGGAGCCAAATATGCCCTCGGGAACAATAGGCATGTCCAAGACGTCCTCTTTTTCCCGGTCTGGAAGGTTTGTTAGGGTAAGCCACCTGGCTCTCTCCTGTACCACCATTATCCCCAGTGCTTTGCCCGTGGCTTGGACTGCACAGCGCTGCACACGGAGGCAAATGTCCGTGATCGCTGCGATCTCGTCCCACACGGCAGGCTCAGGTTTGATCGTCATGTCCTCGCAGAGCTCCGCCTGGTAGGCGGTCAGCAGCGAGGAGACGTTGAGCGCCCTGGCGGACTAAGCTGCGGCTTTATCGGTTCGTTCGGTCATTGCTGACTGGAAGCGGTCTGCCTTTGCCGGTAGCGTGGGGTTCCTGCTCGGTGCCGAAGCCAGCCGCGGTTGGAGGTGGGCTGCCATCAGCGGTTCCATGGGCGGCATGCGGAGCAGGCCGAGCTTCTCCTTTCCGACACAGTCCAAAGAGGAGGCACCCTGGATTGGGGCCTTGTTGCTGAAAGGGCGGTCTCTCCACGAGACCGACACCTCGTCCAGCATCTCTGGAAAGACTGGGAGAAGCTGCTTCCTCATCCTCGCTGCTTGGGGCAAGTTCTTCCCCACATAGCGAGATCTGCAGGTCTCCTTGGCCACTTCAGGCCAGGGGATGTCCAGCCTGGACGCAGCGCGTTGGCACACGGCCTGCAAGTCCATACTGAGGCAGGGCGAAGCTGGTGTGCTTTCGCCCGGGGAAGCTGACATCGCCTCCGGCTCGGCAGCCTGGGCAGATGAAACGAAGATGTCATCTTCGTGCTCATCCGAGTCGGACAAGAGGAACTCAGAGGCATCCTCTTCATCCTCCTCCATATAATCCAGCTGTAGGACATCCTCCGCGGGTGGAACCACGGTGAGGTCCAGTTGGGAGCCCCAGCTTGACACAGCACGGGGCTCCGCTCTCGCGGCTCTTGCCGCCACCGGGCCCCAGCCTGACACGGCGCGGGGCTCCGATTCCGCGGCTACCACCGTTGTTGAGCCCCAGCCTGACACAGCGCCGGGCTCAATCTCCGCGGAGGTCGCCACCATGTCCCGATTGCCGGTCGGCGAATCAACGGACATGAAGGGGTCCCGTCCCGACAGGCTAGCTTGGTGAAACGGGCACAATGTCCGCACGAACCGGGGGTATCGATAGCTTCCTGGGCATGTTCCAGCCTAAGGCAGGACGAGCAGACCTGGTGTGAGTCCGTGCCCGAGATCCTAAACCCGCAGCCGCAGAGCAGAGCCTCCGACTCCTCTGGTGTGAGGGAGAGAAGGGTCCATCCTCGTTTGCCGGGGTGTCGGCGCGGAGGGACAAGCTAGTAACAGGTATGTTACCGAAAAAAATCCAACCTTATCGTTATTCCGAAAGGAAAAAACGACGGGGTAGATTTTTCTTTAAAAAATATTAACTGGTGTGTTAATATCTTTCTTATCTCCGTCTCCTCTGGTGTGAGGGAGAGAAGAGTCCGTCCCCGCCCGCCGTGGTGTCGGCGCGGAGGGATAAACTAGCAGGAAATATTACTGTTTGAAGAAAAAATCCAACCTTACCGTTATTTCGAAAGAAAAAACGGCGGGGCAGATTACAATATTAACTGGTGTGTTAATATTTGTTCAATTCTTCTGCAAAGCAAAAAAGTAACCGGCAAGCGCCCGTCCACCGAATGTTAGCTTGGGTTCAGTCTGTGGACCGTTAAGCTAGCCCGGCTACTGATATTCGAGATGTGCTCTGAAGCGAGAAGAGGTGTTTTGAATGACGCTGCGATTTAGCGCAAGCTACTTAAAGGGTGGGTGGATTCCCTGACGTAGACGTCAAGATCACCAGCCAATCAGGATTGGCGTAATGAGATTGATGCTTCTGTTTGCATACGCGTTGAGGCGCATCCCATAGTGAGACATCGAACGGAGTGTTATGAATGAGAACTGGATGGCCTACCTGCCTGTCAGCCTTCCATCGGGGCACAAACTTACCTCGTGCCCTCATTGGTCATGTGTGCGTTCGTGTGTGTTGGAGGAGGGGCTCTGTAAGGAAGTGGCAGATTTTTTCCGGCTGTGTATTTTCACATTCTAGCGCACTTGAGCTGCTTTCTCCAAAATTACCTACCCCACCTTTAATTGATTATTTATCAATCAACATAATAATTATCTGCACATTTGTAATGTATGTTGTCGGAAGTATTTTAAGAGGGAAACTAACTGTTTGTGAAGAAGTTGTGATTCCATATTTGTTATTGTTTTATCTAGAATATAATCTGCACAAAGCGATAATAATTGACAGGAGAGTGTATCCTGTCATAACTGTTCTTTGTGTCTTGAGAGCAGACATTGAAATACAACTCATTAGACTTGATCATTAAATACAGGGGTAATATCAGGTTCAATTAAGCTTCTTTTTTTTAATTAATCCCAGTGAAAGTTGTTCTTATTTACCGAGCTGTCCAAAGAGCCATTTCCATCAGTGTCATAGAGGCGAAACATAACTGTGGAGACAAAAAACAAAATGTCAATCTGCAGCATACACAGCCTGTGCTCTACACCCTGAGGGTTAGTGAACAGAGCAGTTATAGGCAGGAGAAACACAGAATTCACTGCTCCATAAAACTGCTCTTTTTTCCCTCTCGGCACTTCACTGCAGGTAAATACAAAACATCCTTATACTGAAACTTTAAGTGTCTCCCAATTGCCACTCAAAAGTGTCTCCATGGAAACAGACAGCTCCCACATCTCAGCTGTGATTGGCTCTATCTTTTTACATCACAGTGATGCGTTAACACCCTCAAAGTCTTTATGTAACAGAATTGAGACAATAACAACAACATGACCTGGCCGCAGATCATTTCCATACTAATGTCTGCTCTAAGAGGTGCTCTTACCCCCCCACCCCATCCTGCCTGACGTGCTCGAGGTGCAGCAGAGGGGGGGGAGGGGCTAACACCACAGGGAGTTGACGTCAGATGGAGGTTCGTCAGGCCACTAACGAGGAGCTAAGTGCCAGTTTCCTGAGTGGGTGTGACCATTTGGGGGTTTAGTAAAAAATTATGAGAATTGTTACTTCTGTCCACAGTACAAAAGCAGAAAATAGTTTTCTCTGTGGCTCTCATGAAAGAAAAAACTAATTGGAATCACTTAAATCTATATATATATATTGATTTAACTTAAAAATATGTCTCTCTACATGGATACAATCATTTCTATTAAATATAAGAATAATACAATTATGATTTTTTTAAGAGACAAAAGATGGTTTCATTTACAGTTTATAAGTGCAGTACCGAAAACAAGAGAAACTGCACGGGAACAAGTTACATTACATATTTTAATTTGTTTAAGTTCATAACAATGCAGACATCTGAGCTGGATTACCAGAATCTGCTCATTTTAGATGATCCTGATAGTGATCAACATGCATTGAAACCAGAGCAGTTCTTAAACTAACCAGCAGATGGAGCTGTCCACCTGATAAAATACCAATAGTGGGGTTCGCAGAGTTTGAGAGAGGCAGGGATACAGGCAGGAGAAGAGCTCAATAAGACATCATCCATAGTTAAATCCATGATGTGCTAACACACAGGCAGCATCAGTTTAATTATTTAATCATCCTTGAGCTTAATGAGAGCTACTCTACTCAATAATTCAGGGAATGGATGAGAATTATAGCTACGCAGAGAAAAAGGTCTGATGTCCAATTAAGTGATGTTACCTTGTGATAAATGCAATTAAGAGATGTGGGAAGATGTGGGAACAATTGAGAAGGGAGACTTAATGGGAGCTGCAATGATCGTCTCCAAAGAAAGTTATAAAGATAAGTGTAAATGGTGGTAATTAAAAATTAGGAAACCAAATTTGGTTGTAAGACAAAACAACAGGAGGAAGAAAGGCAAAGAAAGGTCCAGTTTGAATGCATGAATTTGCTCACAACAAAATACACCAGAGACTGAAACTCTGACTTTATAACCTCACAAATAGATGCACAACGACAGAAAACAGGTAGAAGAAGATACCTGGACAATATTTCACTGGAAAATAAATATGAATACAAAATCCCAAGGTAGATTGTTTTTAGAAAATATCAAATATCTGTTTGGTACAAAATAAGATGACTGTGTATTATCAGGGTTCCCTGCTTTCCCAGGCTTATGTTCTTATGTCATGTTGACCTCACAGACAGTAGTTGTAAGGATGAGCATTTCTCACAACTCAAGATGAGAAAGAAAATTATTCAATGTTTGAGTTAAACACAGCTGAGGACCAAGGTACATTTAGACAATACACTTGATAAATATTATTATTTTGGGGATTTTCTGATTAATTGATGTCGTTTCAATCTTTTGTACCCGAGCCAGTCCAATGTGTGATTAAGAAGTGTTGAGATATAATTCTCAGCACCTGGACAAGGTAGTCGTTTTTGTTTTTTCAAACCAGTGGTTTTATTTATTTGGGACCAAAGCTTTATAGACTTTGAAAGCAAAGAGGGATGGCTATAAGCTTATCCAGGCTTACATGTAACGTGATAGTCATTTTCAGCGGTGAAAAGTACTCTAAGTGAGGTACTTATATACACATTTAACTTGAGTCTTTTCTTTCCATGATCTCATAGGCAAATATTGCAATTTCTACTACAATATTAATTACCAGCTTAAAATACTAGTTTTTGCAAACATAATGTATGAAGATTCAAGAAAAAACACATTTTGTTATATATAAACTACCCGACAGTATATATAAGTACTGCTGAAACGATGTGTTAATTAATTGATTGACATAAATGTATAATTGTTAACTATTTATTTATATCTTACTACCCATAGTGAAAGGTGTCTGTTTGGCATGCCCTTTTACACCATTGTAACACAGATTACACAGTTAAACAGATGTTTTCATTAACTGTGAAAGTTATATCATACAGCATGTAACCATAGCAACTGTAGTTCTGCTGGATGCTGCATTAGCAGATCAGACCAAACCAACCATGAGTTACATTGACTGAACATAAACTTTGAAAAAAGAACAAAGCCAAACTTACTTTCCTTTGATTTGTGGCCATGGTATAAGCAACTATAACACACTCAGTATGCCCAGTTCAAAACAGAATAGACTCCACCACATTCATTATTTTTCTATAAAAGGACTTTAGCTTTGTGTAAAATTGTGAATTGTAATTTATCACTCGATTATTTCCTCAATCCAATTAATGAGTTTTGTCCCTAAAATCTGAAAAAAAACATAATTACTGCCATTTTCAAAACCCTTTGTGACACCATTGATTGCTTGTTTTTATACCAATACCACCAAATGTTCTGAATATATGGTAGCATTTTTCTACAATGCAACAGAGCAAAGATTCATGGTTTGTCCTCTCTTGCCCTTTGTCTTTCTCACTGGACTTCAGTCTGACCTTACTGCTCTCAACCAGTGACATTACTCCTGCCCTTATAGTGTGTGGTTTTTCTATTCAGCTCCAAGTGTTTTATCTCTGCAGTTCATAAACCTGGATTTTTGTACTTGACGATACAACACTGACTTTCTAGATTCTCAATGTATAAAGGCATAGGAGCCAAAAGCCTTGTGATGTGGGGGGACACTCACACTCCAGCTTGTCCTCAGGACGCCCGCCCTCCAGCAACGAGAGGTAACACACGATGTCCTTCAGCTGCACCGTATCCAGAGGCTGTGGCAGTGTGACTGTCTTCAGAGGGGTTGAGCTGCCTTTCATCAGCTTCAGCCCTGCAGGGAGACGGATATGAAAGGTCAAAACATCCTCCACAATGCTTCTAATGTTAGCCCAACAACATCCTGGCACCACATTAGTCATACAGTGAGATTGATCAATGGTGGGTGTCCAGTTCACAAAAGGCGAACAAACAATCCAGTTTTAGTCTTTGTTTTTAAATCAGGGCTGGATTATAAAACTGTACTACCGTTTTTCAACCTGATCTCATTGTGTTCAAACAGTAATGATCAATACATGATTATTAACGCTGCTATTCCTATTGATTCCCTACTCTGGTAAACTGACATAACCGGCTAATCAGCTATCTACTAAAGGTCCTAGCTTTAAACTGCATCCAGCTTTTTTATTGGCACTTACGTCACTAGTTTTTCTTTGTGGTATATAAAAAACTGTGTTGTCTCATTTGCATGAGCAACACACGGTAGAAAGAGGCATTTGTGTTGTGTTGGTATTTAATACCACTGATGAGAGTAATTGCTTCATCGGGTTCATAAAATATGCAACAGGCCCAAGGCTTAAATATGGAAACACAGTAAGTATAGTCATTAGCAATGGCAAACAGGTGTGCAAAATAGAAATACACACTGAAAAGAAAAATGAGAAATGTACATACATGCTCATCTCGCCGTTATGAGCAACTTCTCCGGGGTACAAATGCTGCGCACAAATTTATTTTTTCTCTTTCTCACAAACAGGTTAGCTTTGACTCTAGTCTACATGCTGATGTGCAAAATCATCAGCCCACATTGACATCATTAACACGCTTTAATATTAACTTGGAATGCCTAGCTGGGATTTAGGGTAATTATCCCTTTCTAACGACTAAATATCGGTCTCATTAACAGTTTTGCAAGAATTCCAATTAGGAAACTAGGAGTTTTTGAAAGCTTTGAAAAGTCTGATTTGGCGAGTTAGAAATGAGAACTGGTCGGTGTGTTCCAGGCCATAATACCCAAAGTATGTAGTGAATTGAACATATTCTAGAAATGGTTGGCAGGACTATGACAATAAGAAGGCCACTGTTATTTCTTAGTAGTTTTGAGTGCATTTGAAATAGCTTTTTCCCATAAAAGCAGGTATCAATTGAGATTACAGTGGACTGTTATGGGAGAGAGGAGCATTCAGCCTAAGGGAAAAGTTTTCCATTTACTAGTCTACTTTCCAGTACTCACTATGGTCATGTGTTTTGGGTAATGACTGAAAGGACATATTTAATACAAGCAGCTATGGTAACATTTTCTTACAGTCAGTGTATATACACAGCTACAGCAGCCATAAAATAAGTTATTATGCTGTTTGCTTCTAAAGTGCTTTTATTGGGAAATAAACCTCTTGTTAACGTTGTAAAAAGAAGACTCCTGTGTGCAGACTGAGCAGTTTATGGTAGACGGGACATGTTAGTTCTCCCATCTGAACTCAGATGAGGATCTGGGCTCCATGGTGTGAGGACTTCCTGTTCAAACTAGATCAATACGGCCTAATAAACACATTCACAGCAGGATGCACTGACTCAGCTCAGCACATGCTCTGGGAGGTAGGGGAAAACAATGTGCATTAAATAAAAAATGCAAATAATACAAATCATGTTAGGTGATGTGCCGAGTCTACATTAATTTCATTTTCTGTTGATATAAAAAATGTGTGAGATTTACATCCAATGTGCTGAATATTTACCCATCATGAATATATGCAGATATCTTGTATTACATTATGTAAGATATAGAAATAGAAGTGACACGCAGGTTTTATCTCTGAAACAAAAAACCTTTATGTATTAAAGGAATTAAAAATGTTTTATCAGATGTACCTGTTGTGTTATTAATTATTTCAGAATATGCATGCCAAGGATGATTTATTAGGTTTAATTGTCCTTCATTGATCTCTTTATAATGCTTAACTGATGCTAGTATATTCATCGCTACACTGCAGGTCAAACACTGATTTTATAAAATGTCAGCAATTTGTTTTTAGGTTTGAAATAATGCCAGAGTAGAAATCCCCTGCTACAAATGTTCAGCTGAACTGTAGCAACCTTATGTGCTAATGTACTGTTCAATCCCCAGGGAGAATCTTCTCCAATTCCATCAACTGAACGGTAAATGCTGCTTTTGATCCTGCTGCTGTAAGCTTGGGGTAAATGCACACCAAAAAGCAATTTTATTATTTCAATTACTGCATCTGTGCGTTTTGTTGGACATTAACATACATTAATGATAACAGTTGTACACAATACATCCTCATCTGTAGCTGATTACAGCAGTTATCAGCATCATGGAAACACATGCTTAGCCAGTTGAGTAGCACTTGAAATGTTTGGCTCTATGAAACCTGATGTACTTATATGATTCTGTTTTCTTCAAGTTTGTATTTTGTTGGTCGAACGCACTTATTGTAAGTCGCTTTGGATAAAAGCGTCAGCTAAATGCAATGTAATGTAATAATGTAATGCTTATTGTGCTGTTAAGAAACATTTAATATTGTGAGATCTATTGACACATTTCCTTGCACCCCTCCCCCTTAGTTTCATGACACAGGTGACAGTTAACTGTTTAACCCTAAGCAGACATTTGGTCATGCAACATCCGTATTACCACTTGCTTTAGTTTGCTGTCTTTTATAAGGAATTTGAGAATTATTCAACAAGAAATCCTGTGCCTGTGAGATTAGATTAGTCATCATCTGCACATCATGCAAAAACACTCGTAACATCAGCACTAATTGTATGTCATTATCAATAGGCAGACATTGGACAGTGTAAGATGCTCCTTTAATAGCCTCAAACACAACCAAGAATCAAAGTGAATGCTAAGAATTGAAAAAATTACATTACAGGTGATATCTGGTCAGAATTGAGATATTGGCCGACACAATGGGGTGTTTGGAGTATGTTCTAGAGTCAATGCAGGGGAAGGCTGTCTCTATTATCAGTAACTCATTATCACAGCAGAATCAAATATAAGTGTAAATACTGTAAACAAAGGAAACCGTAGCCAAGACAATTGGCAGCCGCAACATAACAAATTGCATTGTGTGCCACCGAGCTGAACTTGGCAGGAAATCTGTAATTATCCGATGGCACAAAAAACAGATTCAAAAAAATGTTGCGGCTGTTACACAGTAAAGAAATAAATCATCACCAAAAAGTCACTAAGGAAATGCTGTTAGAGCATTATGGAATAAGGGACACATTGGTTGCACTTTAGCCACAAATGCTGCAATGATTTCATTTAAATATTAGTAACCAAACACCAACAGCTTGAGGGTTTGCTATGGTAAATACTTCCTTTAACACTCACCAGAGACTCTGGGTTTGTCAGAAGATGAGGGACTGGGTTTGGGACCCTTGTTGCTAAATGTCATGAAGAGGTGTTGACAAAACTCTTCGGGGAGTTCGCTCTCCAAGAACGTCTGCATGAAGACCTTGAAGCCCTCAAAGTCGATATCCTATAAAAACAAACATGACAAAAATAGAGCATGTTGATTGTCATGGTGAGCTGAGCTGCAGTTGAAACTGTTTTACTTTTTGGCGTCTGCGATCACTTGCTAAAAGTTTCAAAACTCTTGTTACAGAAGTATGCACTCAGAAAGAGTGTAGATGTGGGTGGTGAAGATTGGTTAGAGTGCTTTCAATGTTTTTGCAGTTTATGTTCTGTGGTCTTGCCTATCATTTATTTAGGTGTACAGCTTTGCCCATCCATGTGGTTGGCTGATAGTTTAAATCTAGGAGTTGTTAATGTTTTAACACATTTCGATTCAAGAAACACATTACAGCAGTAATGTCTCCTAAAAATGATAATCCCATACAACCAAACTGCATTGTGAATTACATTTCAAAGCATATTTTTGACAGTCTCGTTCTTTAGTCAAAGTCACTGGAAGTCCACCAAATGCCGGCTTACAACATGAAAACCAAATAATGTTTTTTTCAAAACCAACCAAATATTTTAGTTTTGTTTCAATAAACATTAACCACATTTTAAAACAACATAATCCAAGGACCACACATGTCTCCCTCTAAACCAAACTAAATATTGTATTTAAGTTATATGGGAACCTAATTATGTAGGAGACAAGATTGCATTTGTTTACTGTGTATAAATGCATTTCTCTATGAATGCCGTTAACTTTATTGCTCTCTGAAAACATGTTTTTGTTCTTCACCGTCACAAAGTGTTGAGTTATCAAGCGTGACACCATACAGTATGAGCAAACACAACAACAACAATTTAAAGTGAGAGGTGAAAGATGAGCGTTACCTGGCTGAGGATGTCGTGCTTCTAAATCCGCAGCATTGTAGAAAGAAAGAAACCCAACAGGTTTATGGTTCATGCAGTTATCACAAAACTGCATGGCTTCATATCAAAATGTGCTAAATGTCCATTTTACACCTAAGCATGTGAAAACCCTAAAAAGGCATGATAAAAACAGCGTGTAGTTCTCTGGATTAACTGCCACGACATTAAGAGGTAATAACTGTCTTGCAACAATTATCAATCCATGCATAGTGGATTAAAATTGTAAGAGTAAAAAGCACCGATCACTGTGGATTGAGATTATGGTACTTTCTTTCCCAACCTTAAATATACATAATCAAACAAATATGAAATGTTAAACATTTGTATGTACAATTGTTACCAGCTATGTTCTTAAAATCAAACGTATTTATGCCAAAATAACACATGACGTTTTCAAGAAAGGCCTAAAAACCTTTCTTTTTTAAAAAGCTTTTGATTAAACTTTTGTTTCTTTTGTTTGTTTTTAGTATGCCTCCTGTAGCACCTTGGGATTGCTGTTAGCAATGAAAGGTGCTTTACAAATCGAATTTATTATTATTATTATTACAATTGTTATTTCTCAATGTTTAGAAATATGCAGATAGGCGTACATAAAGTATAAACTGTACATACGTACCTCCTCTGGATTGTATTTTGCCAACACACCATCTCCATGGAACTCCTGCAGCACATCCTTCAGCTTCTTGGTGGAGTCTGACAGAAAAAACGAGGACATGGTAGTGATTTGTGTGTTGTGTTACATTTCTGTTACAAAGTTTGGCTTCTTCTCTCATTGTTGAGTTTGTATTTGAATAATAAAGATGTATTCACAGTACAGTCTGGACTTTGTCAACACTTTGAAGAGCTGCTGAAACCTGGTCATGGTAATTAGTGTCGATGCAGCACCATAATGTCTGCGTTACACCCTCCCACTCATGAGTCAGATATGAAAAAAAGTACCTTATGCTGTTGACTACTGTGTCACCTCATGTCAGCAGCACATGTTAGCTTGCAGGCTAAACAAGTTCCACCTAGGAAAAACAGTTTGAACAAATATTCAATCCTAATTTTTAAAAAAGCAATAACACAATGTAAAAAAACAAACTGCGTACAAATGCATACAAGATTAAAATAACCAAAGTAATGGTATCAAAATATACTAAAACTGCCATACTGTAGGTACTCATGCAGGATGGCTCATTACACAAGAATAACATTATTATCCACCACGAGTGAAAAATATTGCGTGCATCTGCCACGTGATTCTGACTTTCATCCTTGCTTTATGCTAGCCTATACATTTAATGAAAATTGGACCGGTAGGTGACCAAAATGGCAAATGTAATTCACCCGTTTTAAAAATACAGTTTTAGCATTCAGTAGACAACAAAATATCTTGAGCATTGAGGGATTTGCTGTGATAACTACTATTACTGCAGAGTGTTTAAACTTTAGGAGTCCTGCTGCTGAATCCATTTGCTGCACCACAGATACCAGGTTATAAATGTAACAAGTTAATTAAAAGTAACATTTTCATATGCAGTTTAGGGCCTGGTTCACCCTTCACAAAGCTGTTGTTTGAACTTAGAAGTGCTTCATATTAGCTTTGTTTTCTCTCCCCTCTGAACAGGCTCAATTAGCACAAGGAAACGCAGATCTTTGGCTCCTAATGTGGATAAAACAGCAGTTTTGCGCGCAGATACTGTACTCCAAAACATCATCATCTACTGTATATAACGCAGCCGGACACCCTAATGTAAAGTTGCTGTTCATTAAACAGCAAAGCGTGTCACTGATTGGTAATTAGCTGGTGCATTTGGATTTAACCTAGCAGGTAAAAAAGGAAAGTGTATTGTAGTTGCTGATTATTTTTAGGGATGCACGATAATTATCGGCCCGATATAATTATCGGTCCGATAATAGGAATTATGACGTCATCCCGATAAACCCGATAACAGTATTAATAGCCCCGATAATATACAATATATTTTTTTTGGGTAAAAAAAAAGAAAAAAATACTGCGGTGTGGGTGGATTGGGATGAGGGGCGCTTGTTTTTCACTCGGCTCCTCCCGTTTTGCCAGTACTGTGGTATTAGTGGTTTAGGAAGAGGGGAGTTCTTCACAAATCCAGCGCTCCCTAACTCATGCCTGGCTGTGACGTAAATAGTGTGCGGCCGTGAAGCCAGGACAGTAAACAAACATGTCGTCGGTGGTATGGGCGTTGGAGCTATGTGCAACTCAAGGCATATGCTCGAACCGGAGCTGCCTGGACGCTGCAATCATGTTGCGCACTATCCGTGCTGAGTGTGCTGACTTTTCGTACAATGTCCCACTGTCTGGCTTCCTGCATAAAGTCAAGTGCTCGGCGCAGTTGTGGCGAAATGTCGCTCCTCTGTTTTCATTTAAACAGCTCCTTATATCCGTTAGCGCAGCTAGCTAGCACCAGATGCTAACAACAACAATGCACGTAAGGTCTCTCTCTCGCTCGCTCGGGCCACACATACGTACACACCCTCCCGGTCCTCCAGATGGCCAGTCGGTGCCTGCCGGTGAGCGTGGAAGTGTGGTCTGCCACAAGCGGGCGGCAGGAGCGGGGCTGTCAGCATCAGCTTGTAGATGGTATTTTAAACTCGATGCGCTCTGAAACTACGGGGCGGCCAAGGAAAAAAAATACACATGCGTTAATCGCGTTAAAATAATTAGTGGCGTAAACATTTTTTTGTTATCGGTATCGGTCTTGAGAAGCAGGAAGTTATTGGTATCGGTATCGGTTTCAAAAAACCAATATCGTGCATCCCTAATTATTTTATATTCAAAATCAGTCAAAGTTGGGAAAAGTGTATCATTAATGTTACATAATGTATTTCACTATATTAAACTGTCCATACATCTGTTGCTAAAGGTCTATTAGTTACAAAGCATTATTAGTAGCTGATTTTCTGCCCCCATTAAGATGTGCTTTTGAGCTCCTCTTAGCAGGCACTAATGGCTTTGGACCTTTGATTTTTTTCAGTATGCATTTTACCAACAGTGAGTAGATATAATTGCCTCGCATTGGACTGTGTGTGTCATCATTATTGACCACCTTTATTAGCACGCTGTCTACACAGACCCATTATGAAGCAGAGTGATTACGTATCCACCGATTGCCTGTCACATTCACCAGCCACAGCTGAATTACAATGTATTTTCTTAATCAGGCTAAAGATGAAACCATTGTGTGGCATACATTAGTCAGAGGACATGACTCATTTCTCATAGGTTTCTAAAAACACACTGAAGATCTTTAGAAGTAAAAGAATGTTCCCTCTGTGAAGCAGCACTGGGCTACATAATACACACATTAGCAATTATATCAGACAAAGAGAGTCTAACTGTTGTGAGATAGATCTCAGGTGTCTGATTCGGTGCACAGCTATTAAAATGTTATGAAAGTGGGCCCGGCTCACTTTAATGAGAACGAAGGGAGACATTCAGTAGGAGGCGAGATGAGAGGGGAGGCTAGCAATGTGATGCCCATTGTTGCTGCTCAGAGAATGGGATATTTTATAACCTTTAGCTGCACAGTGCACAAAGCGCTGCCCGGAGCTCGTTGAAACATGATTATCCAAATCTTTCTAGCGTGCACACACGCCTTCACGCAGGCGTGCACCCACACCGAGACTCTTTAGTTCTCCGTTACTGCTGTGCTTTTTTTCATCCTGCCTTTTATTCCAACACAACTACACGCTTCTGTTAAGCCTCATGTCTCTGAAACATTTACTTGTTTAATTCCAAAAACTACTTAGCCACCACAAAGCAAAACATTGTAAGAACATAGAAACAAAAAACAGAGCCTGATTGGCTCTCGAAGACTGTGAATGTGGAACAATGTTGACAATGTATGACAAGGCATTGTACATTTAAAACGAAGAATTGTCATTACCAAGGAAAACAGTGGAACTAGAGGTCTTAGGTGAAGAGCATCAATTATTAAGATTTATAGCCAGTTGGTGCAGTAGTTGAAATCTCGAAGGTATCATGTTTGACACTGAAAATAGCTGTAATATATTCCACCCTGTGTCTACACCCTGGCACAAAAAGCACTTATATATATAAAAGTTAAACACCAACAACACCATTTCTGGTGAAAGTGAGTTCCATTGTTTTTCTTCCTGCAAAACAATTTACTCCGACTTGTACTTTCAAAGTCCGTCCAAAACTATGTGTGGGTGGTGCACAACATCCCACAGTTAGGCTGCTAGGTATCGTCATATTTTCCATCCCTGGTACCATTTCAAATGATGAAATGTGTCAACATCTTGGAGCGTAACATAAACTCCAGGCATCCAGAGCACAGTCTGCTGAGCAGGGGAGCCATTTGTTGGGTTGCGAATGAATCATTCAGAGCTAAGGCGGTACCACACAGATTACATGCTTCAGCAGCTTGAGCTACCTACATTAGCATGACGAACATGCAGTGTGAAATTACGACGACAACATTTTATCAATAGAAGAAGGGACGTTGAGATTAAGCAGGGAATTGAGTCATGTAGTTTTAAAGCAGACAGAAATTCTCTTGATATTTTTTAACTGGATGGATTGATGCTATCGTTAATGTCTCTCGATGTAAAGGGAGGATTAGTGGAGATATAAAGGCAGAAATTGGGATCATGCTAACTTTCCAATAACCCAACCGGATGAAGTGAATATGTGCCATTTGTTATGGAGTGCTCTCTAATGAAGAAGGGAATACGTTGCACCTGTTGCCTGCCTTAACAGTGGTCACTTCTCATCTTTTATTGTTACAGGTTAATTATTATATATGTTAAAAATGTTCCTTACAATAGTAACCAACTAATGCTGCACGATAAATAGAAGGGTCTGTTATTGGTATTGCCCGTTACGGCTTCTTTTAATTTGTGATAAATGAAGTTAAAAAGTGGTCAAAGACATCCCTGAAATCAACCTTTTCTTCTCCTCTTTGTTCTGAGATCCACAAATTATAAGAAAAACACTGGTTGATGAAATGGATTACTTGGAGCTGAGCACCTGTAATGGCTTCCTGAGTATCATAACACCTGTAAAATGACACATTCAAGCAGAACATGATCACACGTACAAAGAGACACCTAGAAAAATACATTCTGCCCTTATCACAGCCAGGCACAAACAGAGAGTCCCTCTCCTACTCACACTGAGTGTAATCCTGCAGCAAGGCGAATTCAGTTGGGGTCAGTGTGACCCATTTGTCCTGGCTGCTCATCGTGTTCAGGCCTTTTCTGTCCGTCAGTCGAGCATTCCCCGGGCAGCAACACACAGCGGGGAGTCTTACTCTGGAAAACAAACAATATCAGATAATTGCCCATTAACAGCGGAACAAATCTCTTATTACTTCATGGCTGTGAAAATGAAAAAGAACGGTAAATTCACCAAATAGATGCACCCAACTAATCTATATATGGCTGAATTGGAGCTTGTTTGCAATAAGCTGTGTTTTTTCTATATTGTAAAAGGTCCAAAAAACTCTAGATATATCAATACAGACAATTATTTCGAAATGTCATTTTGCCTCAATTCCCAAACACTTTCCCCAGTTCCCTGCCTCCGTCTGTAGCTGTCATCTCAATGCTTGGCAAAAGAAGAGCCAAAACGGGCTTTGGTCTCTTGATCGCCATGTTTTGATAGATGTTGCAACGATTGGACATTTCAGGCATTGACTTTTATGTGAAGCAGAACAGATGACTACAGAATTCACCATAATTAAACATTTATGGAGACCATTTTTTGGATGGAAACAAATAATAACAGAAAAGGGCATATCACATAATGGGAACTTTCTGAGAACATTTGACCTAGGTACATAACATATACATAAGGTCTACGTTATTGTTGCTTTATAACACTTGGAATATGCATAGTATACAGATTATTTGTGATTCAGAGGAATGCAAAGAATATGGGAGTGAGGTGGGTGACATTTCTGAAGAAAAGATCCACCCCAAAGTAAAAACCCAAATCTACCATCGGCTTAACGGATGTTTTCAGGGGGAAGCATTATGAATTGTTGGCAGCAAGTGGAAGGTAAGAGGAAGGGTCCTTGTGTGAAAATAATCACAATGGTGCTGCTTTTCAAATGACGTTCCCTCAGCTTGAATGGTTGCTATGATGACAACATGATCAACAGTTTGTCAGCTGTTACTTGTATTTTTTAACCGAGTCCAATATGTAGTGTTTGACTAGAGGTAAATTAGAAGCTGCCAGTGTTCCTATTAAAATACCATTATAGCCATTTAAACAAGGTTTGATTCATTATGGAGAACCAAAACAGGAATGCAGCGACTGTTTAAAACAGAATCATGCACAATACAGGAGCGTGGATCAAGTGTTAGCTGTTGTGGAGGAGGAGCTCCCATCATATGAGTACAACATCAAGGCTTTCCCTTACTATTTGTGTAGCTGTCAAGCGTGTGTGCGTGTGTGCGTGTGTGTGTGTGTGTGTGTGTGTGTGTGTGTGTGTGTGTGTGTGTGTGTGTGTGTGTGTGTGTGTGTGTGTGTTGTGTGTGTGTGTGTGTGTGTGTGTGTGTGTGTGTGTGTGCGTGTGCGTGTGTGTGATCTCCAGTGTAAAAGGTATACTGAAACCAGGAATCAACAAGTAGTCATGTTCATTCGTGAGGTGGATGGATGTGTGTGAGAAAATAAATTACATTGATGAGTTATAGATGTGTCTAATTTAGCTTGGACGTCTGTTTGCCTGTGTTTATGCAAGTGCGTGTGTTTATTAATTCATGGGTGAAGACTTTCCTGATGGTACAACATGATACCCCTTTATGAAAGGATAATTGCATGAACAAAATATATACAAAATAAGAAGGCAACATTAGTATTATATTGACACAATGTAAAAAGGATAAGCAACACTCAGTACAATTTGCAGCCACCATTGATTGTGTGTGAACACGCTGGGTGCGTAGGAATCAGCCTCCCTCCTATAAACTTTGATCTGCAGCTGGAGCTGAAACTACAAAACACTCGGCATGGTCTTCAAGGTTTCACACACAAAGCCAAAGAAGGAGCTGATAGAGAATCTTTGTATTCATCTTAAATGTCTATGACTCTAGTACTCCTGCCATGCACTGCACTGTAATGATCCTCTCTCTCTATCCAATGTTGCCTAACTGCAGTGCATCCTCAAAACACTCTGCTGGCATCCATTCAACAATCAAACCCATTTCCACAAATGTCATCGGATCATTGTCCTCCAGTGATCCAGTGAGTATATTCAGTGTGGATCCATACTCTGTTCACCACACTGACACAAGATCTAAGCTCAAACATCACTGATGCCATGCCGCTCAGATATAATAGGTAGTGGCCACTGCGACATACAGCAACATGAATGAGATGTGGTATCAACATGAAGCTCACCTGCTGCAGAGCTGGGGTTGACCACCAAGAGAGGAGAAGGGAGGAGTCCTCCAGGCAGATGTTTTCAGATGAAGCTCCTCAGCCACATTACTGCCGTATCCTTCTTTCGGTCTCCTTCAACTGCAGGGCAGAAGTGGGTGTTTGTAATTAGATAGAGGGTGAGTGTCTGTGTGTGAAAGAGAGGAGATGAGGGAACAGAGGCAGCAGTCCTCTCCGCTGCATGTCAGAGTATGAGTATGTGGATGGTGTTTGTTTTTCTGGTCAGAGCAGCTTCGCTAGGGATGTATAGTGGTGAGAGAGTGAGAGCGCAAGAGAGAGCGCGAGGGGGAGAGGGAAAGAGGGAGAGGGAAAGAGGGAGAGCAGAATTATCCAACAGTGCTCAGCCTGCAATGATCAGTTTCCATACTCCCGCTCGCTCACGTCACATCCCTCCCTCAATCTCTCAATTCCTTCCCCCTCCCTGCCCTGAAATAAAAAAGCCCTTAGGTCCTCTGCTCTCTTGCTTTTTCTGTGTGTCTCCCTCTACTACTCCCCCCCTCCCTCCCTCATTCTTTAAAGCCATCTCTACTCTGGCAACAGTGGCACGCATCAACCGACAGCATTAGCATTCAACGCGACAGGCGGTAAGTGCAGCAACCTGTGGGATGCCCTAAGAGAAGGCGGGAAAAAGAGGAAGATGAAGACAGAGCGAGTAGAGGGTGGGAGTAGAGCACAGCGAGAGCAGAAAAGATAAGAAATGGGGACAAATAAGAGAAGAGGATGAAGATGATGAAGGGGGACAGGAGATGGAACAGGACATTTTGTAACCAATTCTTTATTCCCCATCTTATTTCCTGGGGACACAAAACATGAGGTACATTAGCAATCACAGCATGCATACAGTGAGTGTGAATTCAATAATAAAATACCTATAAAAACCCTACGCTGAGAACAAAATATTAAAATGTGCAGAAATCTCTGGTTTAGATCTTTGGAAAATAGGAATCCAAAACTCCACGTTTACTATCAACGAAGCTATATTTAAGGTCGACATTAGGCTACAGTTTTGAGTGACAACGCAAATGTCGGATGATGCGTAAGTGTCCAGATTTCAAGAAAAAGGCTTAAAAAAAATAATCATTGTTTACGTCTATTGTAGTCCCCTCCGACAATATGGCCATATGTCCTCAGGGACAGGGGAGGAGGAGGTGAAATGCGCATTTTTAAATGTTTGTTCGCCTCTAGGATCCACTCGGGCTTGAAATTACTCGTTTTTATTTTCATTTACCAAAATCGTCATGTCTCAAAGGATAAAAAACCATAACTTTTGTGAAATTATGTTTAGAAATAAAGCTGCTTGAGGCTAATGTGTTCTTCCATCATTGATATTCCAAACAGTGTCATGACATTTTCGATACTTAGCCCACTCTCTCTTCCACAGAAATGCATGATGAGTGCACATATCGAAATGAGCTCAGATTCTTAGGTGGCCTCCCTGAGAGCAATCAATAGTAATGAAGTCAGAGGGTAGAGACACAGCATCAACACATGAGCCCAGTCCAGTCCATTTTATTTATATAGCCCAATATCACAACCCTCCCACAGGGGCCTTTACAATCTCAAGCTGTAAAAACACTAAGTGCTTTTCAACCCAAATAAGTGTGTAAAAAAATATACATGTACAAAGTGAAGATAGATCCAGAAGGAGTTTAAGCAGATCCAGATTTTTAAGACAACTGGACAAGACAGTGTTAATTAAAAAAGATAGCACGTATTTGATGTCATTTCATTTGATCAATGAATCAGAAAACAAATCAATAAAATAAAATATTAGTAACAATATACATAATTTAAATCACACCCGTACTGTACACTTAAACAATAGCACACACTGTTTTGAGAAAGACGTTATGCGACACAAATTCAATCTTTTAATATAATAATAGGGAAAACATGTAAATCGCAAAAATGTTAAACAGAAAACACAAGCAAAATGTTTACTGTTTACAATGAATTGTTTTTATTCTAAAATTACCCACTTTTGCAATATAGTACATGCTAAAGAGCAAATTAGCATGACACACAACATTGTTAGGCACTCACAGTATTTAATCTAGGAAAGGGAAAGATAGTGTTTAGTCCGAAAGGTTTTATAAATATAATCCATGTACTTTACATTGTGGTAATTCTGAAGTTAATATGAGATAACATGTAAACGATGAATAGTAATGGACCAAGTAACCTGTGGAACTCCAAACATAACATGGAGATTCAATATGTCTTCTTTCTATATATATAGTTTCCTTAAGGTCACAAAAAGTTCATCTTGTTAATGGGAGACATTTTGACTGAAATCCAGGTGTCAAAGTGAGATCCTTTGCCATCAACCAAACAAGGATTCACTATGCCTCTAACAAAAAAGTTCATACAAGGTGTTGTCCAAACACCTCTAAAAGCAATAGTGTTTAAACTATTATATGTTTATTTAATAATACATGTTAAATTGTTGGAGTAGCAATATCTTTAAATTGTATTGGTATTATTCTGAACTTCCCAATGACTGTCTAGTTTTCCATGAGCCAGATATTTAACCTCCAGCTGCACAATTGGAGATGCTGTACAATATACATTGAGCTTTTATAGTGCGTATGTTCAGAGCAAAACCCTGCTGCAGTTGACATAAAGGTTACTCAATAACAGTTTCTGCTCTGCTGTTTTGGCGTTCAGACCAGTCTGGAAGGATAAAAGGGCCTTAGCATGCTGCTTCCTGGAACAAACGTATTGTCTTCAATTCATTTACCAGCCCACCTTTAGATAACCTTTACATTGCTCACACGTTTTACGCAACCTCCCGCCTACAGGATCCTCAGTTTAATTTGACCCACAAGCCTCAGCATGGATTGAGTTTCAGGAAAGATTGCTGAACAATGACCCAGCAGTGTGTCTGGGTAGTGGCTAATCAGTGTGCCCATAACATTTGTGTTTTAGCGTTGCCTCCGGGTCGTCTGTGTAGGTCATGTGGGCGTTAACATTTGTGTCACAGAGGAAGAGGCATTTGAAGTATTGACATGTCCTTCACATGTAACTATCAATGTTCAGATTCCCTATAGTTATCCACCGTTGTGTTTCTGAAATGTTGTAAATAAAATACTATATTGTCTTTTTATTATATGTTCTGTCCTAGTTTTCCCATATATAAAGTTCTACATTTAGACAATAAGACAGACGGTCTCTACTGTATGTGGACAGAAAGACAGCCCGTACTAATTAAACCAACGTTATACATCCAGCTCTTGATATACACAATAAAGTCAGAGCCCACTCTATATTAATGTAAAACTCTGCTGTTGAGTTTTACATACACAGTTTTACATGGAGATTACATACAGTTTTACATGGAGATTACATACACAGTTTTACATGGAGATTACATACAGTTTTACATGGAGATTACATACACAGTTTTACATGGAGATTACATACAGTTTTACATGGAGATTACATACAGTTTTACATGGAGATTACATACACAGTTTTACATGGAGATTACATACACAGTTTTACATGGAGATTACATACACAGTTTTACATGGAGATTACATACACAGTTTTACATGGAGATTACATACACAGTTTTACATGGAGATTACATACACAGTTTTACATGGAGATTACATACACAAAGGATACACGTCAGATATGTCCGTCACTGGTGAGAGCGTCAGACCTGCTTCCTTACGAGATCTCTTGAGGTCATTGTGTATGTGGGTCAGGCAGACTATAGGCAGGTTGGAGTAGCCTCCCTGGCAACTGACTATAGTAAAACAAATTAAAATCAAAGTTTGTACTTTTGTCTCAATAAACAGAATCTACGTTTAACAGTCCTGCGCCACTTTCCTGTACTGCATTTCAGAGATTGGAAGTTTTGGTCTCTCATAGCCCAACATTTTTTCCCCCCAAGAAAACCAATTTAGAAAATATGTTATGGCGCCCTACTGTATGTCCTCTTGAAAAAGACACTTGAGGCACAGAAACCCAATGTTGAGACTGGATTCAAAGATGGTGTTAAAAGTAAAAGCACCCATTTGATTTAGTAAATTAGTTCAACCATTTGAAATCACAAATATCCCTGTCAAACCACCTCTCAAACACCCAGTGGAGCATTCAGTAAACCAACGTTATGGCTACACTGCAGAACAAGGGATTATTGCTTTGCTAAACAAATGGTGCTCAATGCTTGTGCATTCTTCATTTTGTGCTGCCTGCACCAGTGTCATGTACTAACAGTCTAACATTAAGCTAGTAACTGTGTTGAGAACGAGACTTGTAGCAGCAGGAATGTAGTCCAATATTTTAAGGCCACACGAGATTGGTGGTAAAGCTGAACGTTGGACTCATACATTACCCTGACAGAACAATGACTTTGTCATTAAAGTCGGAGTCTGCAGACTGTGTTTTCTCAGAGGATCACATATGCCTGGAGCAGGCTGTCAATAACTGCATGAGGTCAGTGATGGAGAAAATGGTTTTCCAACATGGATTGTGAAAACAGTCTGCATTAATAACTGGAAACTGGTTCTAATCGTTTTTAGGAAGACACTATATGGATTACTTTTTCTGCAAAGTGTTAAAGAAATAAAAGTGTATGATCATTTTTGAAGAATTCATTAATAATACATGAGTAATGAAAGCTGTAGGTGTTGGATCATCGTCTAAAGGCAGAGTGGGACTTCCTTTTTCTTTAGATCTCACATTGATACAAATGTGTATGCCGGTGGGGAATTGTCTTACTCTGTTTAGCTTCGGTGGTGAGCTGCTTCTCATGTAAACTTAAAGGTTTAATCAGTATTAAGATAATTGTATTGTTTATATGACTCCCTGAGTGTTAGCCAGAGCTGATTCTAATGTATGACGATTACATCATAGACCACATATTGCAGCCTGAATCGTCTGCCATGACCAGCAGATGGGTTGTAGAGTTAATTTATTGCCATGTAAATCAACATTACAACTTCTAAAATCCAATCAAATCAGCCTGTTACTCAGAAGAGAGCTGGTGTCACCATAACCCGCCTGACTGTGACAGCAGCCCACAGTCGATACATCACTTCTGGCCTTCTGTGCTATAAATAGCAACCTGTGTGTAGAGTCTAGTGCAGAACACCATGGATCATAATGGGACCTTTACGTAATGTCTTGTGCCATGCACCAACACAGGCTGACCCTGGGTCTTCCTTCCCGTGGGGATGGGGCTAATGCTGGCTGGTTAACAGACAGATGGGTCTCCCGCACTGAGATCACATCCCCAGGCAGAAGCAAAAGAGCATCAAGAAAGAAAAAAGACTGACGTACAAACTCAATAATTAGCCTGAAGCATCTTCCATTTTGAGGAAATGTGTGAGTATGTTGGGGCTCATGTCGTTTTTACTTTGAAAGCACCTATTTCTGAAAGACTGACAGATCGGTCAGTGAGATTATTGTCCATCAAATAT